GATAGAGATTAAATATGTTAATAAAGACATATTTTAAAGAAGATAATGGGACAGAAAGGATAGAGAAAATATTTGAAGAAATAATAAACACTACTCACTAACTAGACCTAATTGAGAACATCCCCTCCAACAAAAGAATACACATCTTTCGAGTGCCTATGAAACATTTATCAAGATACATCCTGTCACAAATGGCAGGATTTCCTTTAAGGCTGAATAACATTTCATTGTATGTACATGCCACACTTTCTTTATCCATTCACCTGATAATGGACATATGGGTTGCTCCCGTGTCTCAGCTATTGTAAATAACGCTGCAGTGAACATGTGAATGCAGGTATATCTTTGAGGTACTGATTTCAGGGCCTTTGGATATCGAGTCAGAAGTGGGATTGCTAAATCATATGGTAGTTCTACTTTACTTTTTTGAGAAACCTCTATTCTATTTGTCATATCTTTTATTCTCTTGATAATAGCTCTCCAAAGAAGCGTGGGTTTTGTGGTTTTGATGTGCATTTCCCTGATGATTGTTCATATTGAGCTCCCTTTCTTGTAAATTGTTTTCGGAAAAATGTCTTCAGAAAAATGTCTCTTCGGATCTTTTGCCCATCCTTAACAAGATCATTTAATTTTGGGTATTGAGTTGTAGGAATCCCTTATATATTTTGATGCTACCTGGCAAGCCACAGTCTATGGGGTCACAAAGAATTGGACATGACTGACTGAGCACAATCCTTTATCAGATTGTGGTTTAAAAATATTCTTTGGAAAAATGTCTCTTTAGATCTTTTGCCCATCCTTAATAAGGTCACTTATTTAATCTTCTTTTTGAGTTGTAGGTATTTCTTATATATTTCAGTTATTAATCCTTTATCAGATTATGGTTCAAAAATATTTTCTCTTGCTCTGGGGGTTGCTTTTTAATTTCGTTGATTAATTCCTTTGCCGTGCAGAAGCTTGTTAGTTTGATATCATCTTGCTTGTTTATTTTTGCTCGTTGCCTGTGCTTTCTGGTGTCATATTCAAGAAGTCATTGCCAAAGCCAGTTTCAAGCTTTTTATCAATTCTTCTAGAACTTTTATCTTTGGGGGTCTTACATTTAACCACATAAGCCATTTTTAGTTGATTTTTGTGTGTGGTGTATGATAAGGATTTGATTGTTTCTTTTTTATGTGTATATCCAGTTTTCCAAAAAGCACTTATTGAAAAGGCTGATCATTTTCCCCACTGTATTGAAAAGTAGTTAACCAAAATGTCAAATTTTAAATTACTTTTAAACTAGGTATAGCTCTTTAAAGAGCCAATAACTGAAATAAAGTAAAACTTTAAAATATTTTATTAAACAAAAAGAAGGCAGGAAAGCAGTAATAAAGAAAAAACTTGGTTTTAATTTTTGTTTTTGGCTGCACTGCACAGCATGTAGGATCTTCGTTTCCCAACCAGGGACTGAACCCATGCCCCCTGCATTGGGAGCACAGAGTCTTAACCACTGAACTACCTGGGAAGTCCTGGAAAAACAAATTTAAGCAAATTCAAAAATATCAATTTTCATTAAGGGAAGACTAAAAAGTCTTTCACTACCCACAAAGTGACATATTGTTTGAAATTATGCTGAGATCAAAAGCCAGAGATTTTTACAATGGGTAAAGCAACATGACTTGAAAGTGTGTGCATCGTGCTGAGAAACCAGAAATGAGATGACCTGTCTAGAAGCATCCCGTTGTCTACACCCAACACCAGTAATGGCAAAACTGTGAGGGAGAACAGGTTTATTCAGAGGACCACGGTCCCCTTGACTCTGGAGATTGTTCCCACTTCAGAATCTCCTATCTCCTGCATTCTTTCCTTCAGCCCTGAAAGGAGCCCAGGTCACCAAGAATTAAGGGCTGGACTTTCAGCATCCAGACTCCAGAGGAGCTCTGAGTTTCTTTCTTTCCTGAGAGTCTCTGTTGGCTGCCTGCATACCGATAGCTTCCAGGTCATCAGTATGGGTATCCTATGACAAACATCTTTCCAAATTTTCTTATGATTCTTCCATTACCTGGATTTCTTCATTGTATCTCTTTTCTACCCTTTTTGGTCATTTCATACCACCTGAACATTTTTCAGCATACCAAAGGAAGATGTTTAAAGCAAGTATTTAAAGCATTAATAGTAACAATGTGCTGCCGCTGCTGCTAAATCACTTCAGTCGTGTCCAACTCTGTGCGACCCCATAGACGGCAGCCCACCAGGCTCCCCTGACCCTGGGATTCGTTAGTCAAGAACGCTGGAGTGGGTTGCCATTTCTTTCTCCAATGCATGAAAGTGAAAAGTGAAAGTAAAGTTGCTCAGTCATGTCTGACTCTTCGCGACCCCATGGACTGTCCTCTACCAGGCTCCTCAGTCCATGGGATTTTCCAGGCAAGAGTACTGGAGTGGGGTGCCATTTCCTTCTCCAGGTAACAATGTGTTGGGTGGTTACTGCATACCTAAGAGTGAAACTATGATGACAATGGAACAAGGACTGGGAATCAAGGTCACACTGTTTTCAAGTCTTTCATCACACATGAAATAACACTTATTTGATGGTAGATTCAGATTTTTCAAAATGTACATTGTAAACTCTATGGCATGACTCAAAAAAGTTTTTAAAAGAAGTACAAAAAATAAGTGAGATGAAATCAACTTTATTTTTTAAATAATAAAACTAGAGAAGGCAGAAAAGAGAAAAAAAGAAGTAGAAGAAATGAAACTAATAGAAAACAGCTAGCAAAGTGGTGTATTTTAATCCAACTATACATAGTAACTTTAAAGGTGAGTGGATTAAAAGTAACAGTTAAGAATTGACTGTTTAGCAAAAAAAGCAAGACTCAACTGTATGAGGATGTATTAGTCATGGTTCTTCAGTAAAACAGAACTAATAGCATAGATCATTGGCCATTGGCTCCTGTGATGGTGGAGGACAAGAAGTTCCACAATCTGCTGAGCTAAAAAAAAAACCAGGAAAGCTGGTGGTTTAATTCTGTCCACGTCCAAAAGCCTGAGAACCAGGAGAGTCGATGGCATAAGTTCCAGTTGAGGTCCAGAGGCCCGAGAATCGGAGTGCTGATGATAAGTCCCAGTCCAGGTCTGAAGGTCTGGGAACCAGGAGCACTGATGTCCAAGGGCAAATGAAGATGAATGTCCCAGCTTAAAACAGAGAATAAATTGGCCCTTCCTCTGACATTTTGTTCACGTCTCAACTGACTGGGTGACGCCTACCTGCAATGGTGACTGCAATCTTCTTCAGTCTGTGGATTAAAATGTTAATCTCTTCTGGAAACACCCTCACAGACACACCAAGAGATGTTTTACCAGCTTTCTGGGCATCCCTTAACTCAGTCAAGTTGACACATAAAACTAACCAATATACTACTCTACGAGGCACCTATTTTAATATTATAAAAGAATACTTCCAGTTTCAGCTCTAACATGTAAAGAATTTAGAAATCATAACACATCATTATGATGTGAAAAAGATGAAAAGACTGAAAAATCATTGGCTTTTTTGGGGGGCCCATCAGAGAACTGAGGTTGCATGGCAGACTTGCACCCCAAAATCTGGAAAGACAGACAAATCCACAGACTTGAAGCTGAGATCTACTTAACCGAGAACCAAAATCTACTGGAGCCATAACCTAGTAGGCGTACTTAAATGAGTTTTGACAAATTGCTGGTGGCTGATATGGTCTAGCTTAAAAGTAAGAAGCTTTGGTGAGCTGCAGTATTTGGGAGAAGTGCCTAATTTCCTGGGTTTTGCCTCTAGGGACCCCACCAAATTCTCAGAGTGAAAAGCTGAGAAAGATCCCCTCATGGCTTTAGGCAGGGGGAGGAGGAGTAGAAATCACAGGAGATACGTGCACAGTGTTTTCCATAACGAAGGCTGGTCTCCGGAGGAAAAGACTTTGGCAGAACTTTATTCAGGAGCACAAAGAGAGGGCGGCTTATAGCTCCAGTGCATGCACCCACCGATTCTGGGAGGCAGGGGAAAAAGGCTCGGTTAACACTGGAGATGGTCAACAGCATCTCAAGGGAGTTCCCTGGCAGTTCAGTGGTTAGGACTCCATTCTCTCACTGCCAAGGGCCTGGGTTCAATCCCTGGTGGGGGAACTAAGATCCCACAAGCTGAGAGCACAGTCAGAAAAAAAAAAAAAAATCACTTTGAGAAAGTGCAGGATAAACAGTGGGTGCCAAACTGTCTTCTGGGGAGTCTTCACTGCCGCTCCCAGAGCTAGTTTCTCTGGCGGAGAACTGTGTTTATTGTCTTACAATTCTGGAGGCTAGAAGTCTGAAATCAAGGTGTTGGCAGGGCCAATCTCCCTCAGAAGCTTCAAGGGGAGGATTCTTCTTTGCCTTTGCCAGCTTCTAGCATTTAGGCATTCCCTGGCTTGGCTCAGCATGACTCCAGCCTCTTCCACGGCCAACTTCCCTCTGTGTCCTCACGGGGCATTTCCGTGTGTGAGCGTCTGTGTTTACGAGATTCCCTCTAAGGATACCAGTCATATTGGATTAGGACCCACCCTCACGGCCTCATCTTTTTAATTAACTTTTATTGGAGGATAATTGCTTTACCCTGCTGTGTTAGTTTCTGCTGCACAACAAAAGGAATCAGCTGTATGTACACATGTCCCCTCTTTCTTGGATTTCCTCCCCACTCAGGTCACCGCACTAATGGCCTCATCTTAATTTCCAAATAAGGTCACACTCACAGCTAGGACTTCAACCTATCTTTTTCTGTGGAAGACAGAAATCAACTCATAACAGCAAGTATCCTGGAGAGTTAAGGAGAACTCGGCAGAGATCACTGAATGAGGGGGAGTGCTCAGGCTGAAAAGGAAGACAGGCCAGGATGGGCTGGGACACAGGAGGGGAAAGGGGTTAGGGAGGGGGCTGGAAGTTTTGTAAGAAGCCGTGTTAAATTACTGCCAGAACATCTATTCACACTCAAGGAGGAAACACATTAAAATGGTTAGTAGTGGTGGTTATTAGCAACAACTTTAATTTTCCATCTCTGCTGCAAAAGTCACATGGGGGCATTACATGAAGAGGCTGGCCCAGTGCAAACACTTAACAAGTATTTCCCAACATTTTCCAGATGATGTTAATAACCTTGTGCACACAGTATACGAATCTGACAGAGGGAAAGCGTAGTGAACACTTGAAGGCACAGACGTGGTTGGGTGAAATGTAACAGCACGGGCACAGTAGAGGCAAGCTGCCTCAATTTTCCATTCCAGGAGGAGAAATACTGGTACTTACTGGAAAGAAAAGGAAGTGCATGACTGAACAGAAAGAGAGTCTATAAATCTGTCCAATACTGGCAAAAAAGTGAGATAAGCCTACGCTGTGGGATGTCCATGCTATGTGCCAACAGCACTGGTTAGGACACGTCAGCCTGCAAATGACCAAAACGCAACTAAAACTGCCTTACATAATAAGGAGCAACAATCTCATATAACAAGAAATTTGGGGTTAGGGAGATTCCAACTGCTTCATTAAGCCAACAAAGACCACGTTTCTCCTTCCTGGTCCACGGTTACCACGCTCCTCCCTCTCCAGTACAGCTGCTGACGTCAGAAGAGGAGCTGTGTCTTCCCAAACATCTCTTTCTAAAAGCTAAAGAACTTTCCCCGGAAGCACCCTGGAGGATGTCTCACCCGACCTCACTGGCCAGGATGCCCTCCCATGGGCCTGCCTCTCCTGAAGCACGTGGGGTGCACATCCCGAACAGTTCATTAGGAAGAAGCAGAAGAGAGGGAGAAAAAGTGCTCAGAGCGGCTACCAGAAAGGTACCCCACAGGTCTTCCACATCTGTCTACACACAGGACATGCAGGGGGCTGAACAGAACAGGAAGCTGGAATCTAAATGAACCACTCAGGATGGAAACGCATGAAGTCAAAGATGAGGGCCGAGCGATGGGCGTCCCCAGCCTGGGGTACAAGGCGAAGAGAATCACCTCATTTCCCACCAGTCACTGGGGGGATGACTACAGATGCCAATGGACTCAACCAGAAAAACGGCCGGAGACGGGAGCTGGAAGAACAGGAGAACGTGTGCAGGTACTCTCCGTCCACAGCATTGTAGAAGGAGACTTCCCGAGCCCCGTGATCTAGGAAAACTCCCACCCGCAGAAGAGCTGGTTCTCGCTTGGTAGGACTCACGGAGGTGCCTGTCAGGGGCCGATAGCCAGCAGAACTCCAACAAACAGCCCAGATTCCCACCTTGGGGCACATTGCTGAGCCTCCAGGGATCCCCATGATGTCCTCCCGACACACTCCCGCAGCCACCTCCAGGCTGCCTCGGTTCTCGACTTCCCAGTAATGCTTCCCTGAAGTGAAAACATTTTTTCCCAAAACACAGGGCAAATGCTGAAATCTCTCCACAAAGCCTGTGGTCCTCTGCGGATTCCTCCATCCGGTAGCGTAGCTCCATGCTGTAAAAAACAGTGGCCAAGAACTGGCGGACGCTCCGTTTTTCACATATCTCCCTTCCTGGGAGAAGACAAGTTTGGAATGAGCGGTGTCCTCGGCCAGACTCACAGCCACTGCAGAGAAAGTGAGCTGAGATCAGTAATGAAGAGCTCCAGAAATGCGCATCTGTCCCAGCTTCAGCTCCATCCCTCTCCTCCTATCAAGTACTAGTAGGGATGAGATACCTCTGCCCCCTCAACTGCTCCTCAGCTGGACCTAGCAAGCCGCAGTTTGCATTAGCAACCTGAGGTCTTCATTTCCCTTCGGCTCTCAGACTACAGCCTAGAAAATGGGAGCTTTATTATTCCATGGCCCCAAGTCTTCACCATCAGCATAAAATGTGAAGAAACAATAATAAATACCGACTTGCTGAATCCGTACCAGAACCAAGGCTGTCAACTAGCTGGTTCTTTGTACAGGACACACAGATGTCACCCCAGGTCTCTGTCTACTGGTCGAGTTGTTCACTGGGCATCTCCACAAGCACCCAGCAGATAACTCAAAACCGAATTCAGGGCCTCCGAAGTCCCCTTCCATTCTCTTGAGACTGATCCTCCCTCGTAAGCATACATCTTCTTTTCTATGCTCTCTAAGGCTTAAGGACATGACCATCACCCAAATGCTCATACTTGAAAATCTTAAGCTTCTTTGATTCTTCTTCCCCTCTGACCCTCGTTGGCTAATGAATCACCAAATCCTATCAATTCTACCTCTGAACTAATCACTCGGGTTCTTCCCTTCCTCTCCCATCGCCATTGTCTGCATTCAGACCTTCAGCAACTGTGCCTGTAACTTCCTCCCTGGCCTGCCTCCTAATTCTCTTCCCTCCCAAATCCTCCATGTCTCCTGTTTGCTGAGAGCTGCATTTTGTTTGTTTTTCTTAATTGACATAGATGTTAGATTTTGACAAAGGTTTCTTTTTCCTGCATCTACCGAGGTGATCAAATTGATCTTTTTTAAAGTGCTAATGTGGTGAATTACAGTGATTTGCAAATATTAAACCAGACCTGCTTTTCTGCGATAAATCCCATTTGGTTGTGATGTATTATACATTATTGAATTCAACTTGCTAAAATTTTCTTTCAAATTCTTCTATGTCATGACGGACATTGATCTATAGTTCGCTTTACTTGTAATGTCTTTGATTTTAGTATCATGGTAATGCAGGTCTCATAGAACAAGTTGGGAATAGTCTCTTCAATTTTTTGTTAAGAATTTGTATAGAATAGGTATTTCTTAAATGTTTGGTGAAATCACCAGTGAAGCCATTTGGGGAGGTTTCTAACTATAACATGAATAAAGTTATTCCAGTTATCTATTTTTTCTTGAGTCAGCTTTGGTCATTTGAGTCTTTTAAGGACTTTGTCCATTTCATCCATGTTGTCAGATTTATCAGCATAAAGCTGCTCATAATATTTCCTAATTATCCTTCTAGCATCTACAGAAGCTGTAGCGATGATGCTTCTCTCATTCTTGATACTAGTAATATGTCTTTTTTCTTCCAGTCATTCTGCTTAAAATACATTTCAATAACATTTAAATTCTCAAAGAGACAACTTTTGGTTCCACTAATTTTTCTGTTGTTTTTCTGTATTCAACTGCAGTAATTTCTGCTCTGATTTTTGTTTCCATCCTTCTGTTTCTTTAGGGCTTTATTTGCTCTTCTTTTTCTAATGTCTTATGGTAGAAACTGGTGCCACTGGTTTAAGAAATTCCTTTGGAACACATGTGGTTAGTGCTATAAATTTCCCCTTAAGTATTGCTTTAGCTGTATCCCACAAATTCTTTTTCATTCAGTTCAAATTACTTCTTAATTTCCCTTTTGATTCACCTTTAGCGCATGGATTATTGAGAAGTGTATTATTTAGCTTCCTAACATTTGGGGACTTATCAAAGCCTTTTGTTTTTATTTTTACTAATTTCAAAATACACTGTAGTCAAAGAACATATTTTACATGGCCTGAAGCCTTTTGAATACTATAGCCCACAGGCTCCTCTGTCCATGGGGATTCTCCAGGCAAGAACACTGATGTGGGTTGCATGCCCTCCTCCAGGGGATCCTCCCAACCCAGGAATTGAACCCAGGTCTCCTGCATTGCAGGCGTATTCTTTAGCATCTGAACCACCAAGGAAGCCCTTGAATACTGATGTCTTATGGCCCACCTTGCTCTACCCTGGAAAATGTTCCATGTACACTCAAAAAGAATGTGTATTCTGCTGTTGTTTGGGGCAGTATTCTATAAATAACAGGGTGGTCAAGTTGATTGATAGTTTTATTCAGTCTGTCTTTGATGATTTTCTGCCTACTTGTTCTAAAGTTTATTTTTAAAAGGTATTGAAAATTCCAGCTGCAATTGTTAATGTGTCTATTTCTCCTTGCAGCTCTATTAGCTTTTGCTTAATATATTTTGAAGCTCTGTTATTAGCTGTATAAATGTTTAAAACTGTTATATCCTCCTGATAAACTGACCTAATGATAAATTTATCATTAGGAAGTGACTTTCTTCATCTCTGGTAATATTCCTTGCTCTGAAATCTATTTGATAATAACATAACTGTTAGATTTTTGGCTAATGTTAGCATGATGTATCTTTTCTCATTATTTTATTTTTAACATGTATGGGTCTTTGTATTTAATGTGTGTTTCTTGCAGCATATAGTTAGTTGGGTCTTGCATTTTTTTATCCAGTCCAATCAGTCTCTCCCTTTTAATTAGGATATCCAGACCATTTATACTTAATTATGATTAGGTTTGTACCTATCATCTTGCTGTAGTTTCTGCCTGTCCTTTTTCCTCTTTTTTGCCTTCTTTCTGATTAACCAAGTATTTTTTTAATAATGATTCCACTTTAACTCATTTGTTGACTTATTAGCTATAACTTTGTTTCCAGTGGTTGCCATAAAGTTTACAAAGGTATACCTTTCACTTAACAACCTACCTTCAAGTGATATTATACACTTCACATGTAAGAATGTATAACAGTATACCTTCATTTCTCCCCTCCCAACATTCATGTTCTTGTTGTTATAAAATAACACAATATATTATTTTCCATTTGTTTAAACAACTACTGTATTTGTCAAGCTTCTCCACAGAAATAGAACCAATAGTCGTTTTCCTCGTTAGTATAGTGGTGAGTATCCCCGCCTGTCACGCGGGAGACCGGGGTTCGATTCCCCGACGGGGAGACGGAGAAATTACTTTAAAAAAAAAAAAAAAAAAAAGAAATAGAACCAATAGGACGTGTGTGTACTTGTAGAGATCAGAAGGAACTGGCCCATGTGATCATGGTGACTGGCAGGTCCAAATCCATGGTGTGGACCAGCAGCAAGACCCAGGGAAAATTAATGTTCCAGTTCCTTCCACAAGGCAAGAAGAACCAAAGCTGCAGATGGAGTCTGAAGGCAGTCTGCTGTAAAAGTCCCTTGTTCACGGGGGAAAGTCAGCCTTTTGTTCTAGTCAGGCCTTTAACTGACTAGATTAGGCCTGCCAACATTATGGAGAGCAATCTGCTTTCCTCAAGCTTCCTGATTTATATGTTAACCTCATCTAAAAACACCCTCACAGCAATACCCAAAACAATGTTTGACCAAATATCTGGGTACCTTATGCCCCAATCAAATTACCACAGGCATTAGCCAATCCTATCACCTTTAAAGTGAAAAGAAAGTGAAGTCGCTCCGTCATGTCCGACTCTTTGCGACCCCATGGACTGCAGCCTACCAGGCGCCTCCCTCCATGGGATTCTCCAGGCAACAGTACTGGAGTGGGTTGCCATTTCCTTCTCCAGGGATCTTCCCAACTCAGGGATCGAACTGGGGTCTCCCGCATTCCAGGCAGACACTTAACCTCTGAGCCACCAATGAGACTTAAATAATGACAAAAATAGATATTTGTTTACATCATTACCATTTTGGAAGATCTTTTATTCCTTTGTATAGATCTGACTTCTATCCAGTATCATTTTCCTTCTGCTTGAAGGACTTCCTCTAACATTTCTTGCAGTGCTGGTCTGATAGACTCCTTCAGTTTTTGGATATTATCTCACCTTTGATTCTGAAGTGTATTTTTGCCAGGAATAAAATTCTAGGTAAACAGTTTTTTTTCTTTCAGTCTTTTAAAATTCTTGCTCACTAGCACTGCTTCCAATGAGCACTGGGATGTCACCTTTATCTTTGTTCCACCTTGTTCCACAGTACATAACATGTCCTTTTCTAGTTGTTGCATCTAAAATTTCATCCTTATCACTCGTTTTAGTGTGGTTTTCAGCATCTTTCTCATTTAGAATTTGCTGAGTTCCTTAGATATGTGTGCTTACAGCTTTCATCAAATTTGGAAAGTTGAGTCACTGTTTCTCCAACTGTTTTTGTGCCTCACCCCTATCCTTCTGCTCGCCCTGAGGGATCCCAGTTACCAGACATAAGGCTGCATGAAGGTGACCCACAGCTCACTGAGGTGGCTTTCATTTTTTTTTAAGTTTTTTTCCTCTGTTTCATTTTGCATAGTTTCCACTGCTGCATCTTTTCAAGTTCATGTCCAATCACCTATTAACCTCAACCAGCTTATTCTTCGTCTCATAGTTTTCATCTCCAGAAGTCAGATCTGGGTTTTTTTTTTAATATCTCCCATGTCCAGAACATGCATCTTTACAAAATAGTTGCAATAACTGCATTAATGTCCTTCTATGTTTACGCTAGCATCTTGGTCAATCCTGAGTCAATTTCAATCAAGTATTCTCCTCACCACATCATGTTTCCTACCTTTTTGCCTGCCTGGTAATTTCTGATGGGATGGCAGACATTGTGACTGTACGCTGTTGGAGACTCATTTTTAAAATACCTATCCATCTTCTTGAGCTTTGTCCTGGGATGCAGTTACTTGGAAATAATTTCATCCTTTTGGGTCTTGCATTATAAAATAACACAATATATTATTTTCCGTTTGTTTAAACAACTACTGTATTTGTCAAGCTTCTCCACAGAAATAGAACCAATAGGACGTGTGTGTACTTGTAGAGATCAGAAGGAACTGGCCCATGTGATCATGGTGACTGGCAGGTCCAAATCCATGGTGTGGACCAGCAGCAAGACCCAGGGAAAATTAATGTTCCAGTTCCTTCCACAAGGCAAGAAGAACCAAAGCTGCAGATGGAGTCTGAAGGCAGTCTGCTGTAAAAGTCCCTTGTTCACGGGGGAAAGTCAGCCTTTTGTTCTAGTCAGGCCTTTAACTGACTAGATTAGGCCTGCCAACATTATGGAGAGCAATCTGCTTTCCTCAAGCTTCCTGATTTATATGTTAACCTCATCTAAAAACACCCTCACAGCAATACCCAAAACAATGTTTGACCAAATATCTGGGTACCTTATGCCCCAATCAAATTACCACAGGCATTAGCCAATCCTATCACCTTTAAAGTGAAAAGAAAGTGAAGTCGCTCCGTCATGTCCGACTCTTTGCGACCCCATGGACTGCAGCCTACCAGGCGCCTCCCTCCATGGGATTCTCCAGGCAACAGTACTGGAGTGGGTTGCCATTTCCTTCTCCAGGGATCTTCCCAACTCAGGGATCGAACTGGGGTCTCCCGCATTCCAGGCAGACACTTAACCTCTGAGCCACCAATGAGACTTAAATAATGACAAAAATAGATATTTGTTTACATCATTACCATTTTGGAAGATCTTTTATTCCTTTGTATAGATCTGACTTCTATCCAGTATCATTTTCCTTCTGCTTGAAGGACTTCCTCTAACATTTCTTGCAGTGCTGGTCTGATAGACTCCTTCAGTTTTTGGATATTATCTCACCTTTGATTCTGAAGTGTATTTTTGCCAGGAATAAAATTCTAGGTAAACAGTTTTTTTTCTTTCAGTCTTTTAAAATTCTTGCTCACTAGCACTGCTTCCAATGAGCACTGGGATGTCACCTTTATCTTTGTTCCACCTTGTTCCACAGTACGTAACATGTCCTTTTCTAGTTGTTGCATCTAAAATTTCATCCTTATCACTCGTTTTAGCGTGGTTTTCAGCATCTTTCTCATTTAGAACTTGCTGAGTTCCTTAGATATGTGTGCTTACAGCTTTCATCAAATTTGGAAAGTTGAGTCACTGTTTCTCCAACTGTTTTTCTGCCTCACCCCTATCCTTCTGCTCGCCCTGAGGGATCCCAGTTACCAGACATAAGGCTGCATGAAGGTGACCCACAGCTCACGGAAGTGGCTTTCATTTTTTTTTAAGTTTTTTTCCTCTGTTTCATTTTGCATAGTTTTCACTGCTGCATCTTTTCAAGTTCATGTCCAATCACCTATTAACCTCAACCAGCTTATTCTTCATCTCATAGTTTTCATCTCCAGAAGTCAGATCTGGGTTTTTTTTTTAATATCTCCCATGTAAAGAACATGCATCTTTACAAAATAGCTGCAATAACTGCATTAATGTCCTTCTATGTTTACGCTAGCATCTTGGTCAATCCTGAGTCAATTTCAATCAAGTATTCTCCTCACCACACCATGTTTCCTACCTTTTTGCCTGCCTGGTAATTTCTGATGGGATGGCAGACATTGTGACTGTACGTTGTTGGAGACTCATTTTTAAAATACCTATCCATCTTCTTGAGCTTTGTCCTGGGATGCAGTTACTTGGAAATAATTTCATCCTTTTGGGTCTTGCTTTCCTGACGTGTAAAGTGGGTCCAGAGCAGTACTCAGTGAACAGTTAATTATCCCCACTGATGAGGCAAGATTTTCCTGAGTACTCTACCCAGCGCCCCATGAATTAAGAGCTTTCAAGGGGCTGGTAGGAACAGACGTTGTTCCTGGCCCTGTGCGAGCACCAGGAACCGTTCCTTCTAACCAATCTGAAAATTTCCTTCAACCTCGGGTAGCTCTCCACAAGCGCGTGCTGATCAGGGCTCTGCGGCATGTTCTCAGGATGTCTCCCTGTCCAGCGCTCTCCTCTCCGGCACTCTGTAAACTCCCACTGCTTTGTTCTGGGCTCTCAGCAGCGCTCCTCAACTCAGGCAGCCCACCCGGCTCCCCCTGTGTCACCTTCCCTGAGGTGGCCTGGAAACTCTCAAGGCTGGAGGCTGAGGCCATCATAGGACTCAACTCATTCATTTCACATTCCCCATGTATCACTGTCCTTCATTGCCTGATGTTCAGTATTTTAAGAATTGTTGTTTCATGTATTGTCTATTTTGGATGTCTTTGGTCAACTACATTTCAAGAGTAAGTCCAGTCCCGTTACTTCATTTTACCTGGAAGTGGACATCTACAATGTGGTTCTTGGTCAGGGATGTTACAGGAGAACTGAGTATGTAGCTGCATGTCACGTCCAGGCCTTGGTACTTCTCTGGAGATCTTTTCTGTTTACCTTCAGTCGTTCCTACCCTCATCTTCTCAACCTTACTCCTGCCTTTCCCCATATGCACCTTAACGTTGAGTCACATCAGACACCCTCCCCTCTGTCTTCTCCACATCTCAGCTCATGCTGCCACCTCTGCTTGGAAGCCACCTCTCATTTCCCACTTGGCAAACTCCTACTTATCCTTCAAAGTCCCAAACAACTGACACCTGTGCTGTGAAAACTTCCTCACTTCACCCCAACAGAGAGGCTGTCCTCTGTACTTCTGTGGTATTTTATTCATACCACTGACAAACACTGGGCCCCACTGTATTGCAGTAAGTGATACGTCTGTCTCTCCAATTTGCTTATGAGTTCTTAGAAAGAATAGGTCTTTTTGTTTTTGTGTAACTAGCACTTTAACATAAAAACATCCTTTACCTTTAAACGGATGTTTCTTCAGTGGAGCATACATCCATTTATCCCTAAGTAGTCATTTACCATTTTCCTGGCCCTCCTGTTGGCTGCATGGTCTGTCTTCTCCCTCTTTTTTTTTTTTTTTTTCCTCTTTTTCAAACTTCTCTCATTGCTCATTCTCTGAGCTCCAACTCCCTGAAATTCTGCTCACCTTGGAATCGCTTCAGCATTTCCTTCATCATTGGTAGCCGGCACACAGTCTTCACCGTTAGATCTTCAGAGGAATAGTTCACATCCTGATTCTCACACCTAAGAAAAGTACAGAAGGCTGCTCTTCTTAGGAGACAAACAGGATGGCCAAGACCCTCAACTCCCAGCTGAAGGTTCCAAGCCCAGGGTTCAGGCTACTGCTCTCCCATTCCTTCTGGTGCAAGCAAACAGCAGGATTCCTCCCACAGCCCCCTCACATCAGTGCCCAGACTCATCCATGGGGCGCCCAGGCCTCCTTTCCTCTCTGCTTGGCCTGTATCTTTACAATCTACTCAACCACCCATAAGCAGGAAAGAGCTCATACCTGGTCAATACCTCTGCTGGATTCTGTGAAGAGAAGAAACAAAGAAAGAAGTTATGTACCTCCCCTTGAGATCTGTTACTCAGCTTGGTGAGCAGTGTTTTTCTGTCAGTTGTTTTTGTGAGCATCACACAAGATCTGCTGCTGCCAAGCCCAATGGGGTTAACACAACACAGCCTTTTTTCGTATGAGCCCTCTGCACTATTTAACAATGCTGACCCATCCTTTCCTTGAAACCCTCCTCTTCCTCCATTGGCACTATGGCATGAGCTGTCTCCTGGCTTTCTGTCTACTTCTCCATCTACACTCCTTCAATCACAGACAAGTGTTAATGAGGATGTGGCAGGAATATAAAATGGTTCAGCCACTTTGGAAAAAGGCAGCTTCTTAAAAAGTTAAATATAAATATACCAGATAGCCTAGCGATTCTGCTACTACTACTTAGCCAAGAGAAATGAAAACACATGTCCACACAAAGAATGGCAGACAAATATTAAGGCAGAACCCTTCATAATAACATTTGGGTTGTGTCCATCAACTGGTGAACAGGTATACAAAATGTGGTATATTCTGCAATGGAATACTATTCAGGAATAAAAAGGGAATGCAAATATGATACGATGCTCCAACATGAATGAACCTCAAAAATATCATACTAAATGAAAGAATTCATATACAAAAGAAATGTGTTATTTCAAAGATTCTGCTGTAATATATGCTTGGATATGGAATTGGAATTTCACTGCTCAAGCAAGTTGTAAACGTTCTTGACAATTCTTGGAATTTAAGTATCTCATATTACCTGAGCTCATCAAACCTAAACTTCACATTAATTTCCTTTGGAAAGTGAATCTTTGACTCTTTAATTACATAATAAAAATAGTAACACAATTAGCAAAAGAGAAAAAACATGTCTTCTACTAAACCCACTCACCAGGAAGGACACTCAGCTCCAAAGACAAGAGGGAGGTGAGTTAGCGATGTTAACAAGTCCAGAAAGACAGAGACGATGCCCGTCCCTGCTGGCCTCACCTGGAGCAGCTCCAGGGTGGAGCCCTGGCTCTTCTCCTTCACCTCGAGGATGAGCGTCTTCAAAGAAGTGATCATTTGATTGAGCCTGAAGATGTTCTCACTCTGTTTCTTCTTTGTCTCTTCCTCTTCCTGCCTCAGTCCCTGAAGAAACAGTTGCTCTTCTTCAGTCAGGAGGACGTGCAGCTTTGCAAACTCCGCGATGACTCGCATGCGCTGATTCTTCATCTTCTCCTGCAGCCACAAGAGACCGGCTCAGGCCTTTCTCTGCCTGATCCTTCCTCCTAAATTCCCTGCGTGTGACTCCCCAACTGTCCACGACCCCTTCATCCAAATCACCTCCTCCAGAAGAGCTCCTGCTCACCCCCTACAAATTTCCCCTACTCCTTTCGCTATGCCTGCTTGATATCTTTGTACTAATCTTTATAGTATTAAGTCATTCTTTGTAGTACCTGAGTTTCTACTATTGATCGTCATGTCTTGTTCGTATAGTTTTTAAACTAAAATGCACTTTCACACCTATTATTTAATTTAGCCCTCAGAACACCTAGTGTTTTGTTGTGGTAATTCTTAGAGATACATGTGCGTACCCACATCATACCTCCCAACTGGACAATAGCTCTGGGGGAAGAGTTCATTTGCTTTCCACAGTGCCACAGACCCAAATCAACACCCACCTCAGAAGCCAACCCAGGAGGACTGCAGGAAGGAAAGGGGTACCACCCTTGAGGTCTGAGGATGAAGGGTGTGGAACACATGTGGTCCAGAGCCACAGGAGATCAATTTTCCTGTTCTGCCAGCCTGACAACTGATAAGAGCCTGTGAGCTCTTCCCAGCCAAAGCCCGTGAGCAGCCTCAGGCTGAAAGGACTAAGGGCAAGAAACACCCAGCTCCTTCTGCCGTTACCTTCCACTCTGCAGCATTCTTCACTTCCATGTCCTGAAAGTGCATGACTTTCTTCATCTTGGCTGTCAGACTAGACTGAGTCTTCAGAAGTTTTTCCTGCCAGCAGAACAAACACGCCTAAGTAAGAAATCATCTCTTCCAGCATCTTCCTTGTTCAAGAGCTAAAAGTCACCTCAGCCAAACACGGGATGAGACTCAGAAGATGCTGAAGATGACCACAGGCTAATGCACAAGAACCAGTCTGCTCTCAAGTCATCAAAACACTACATAAAGTTTGCTCATTAAGCAGACAAAAATGAATAAATACCCAGTACTGGCAAGGGAGAAGACCTCTGGCGCCATAATAGTAGGAGAACAAAAAGATCCCATCTAGTAAAGTAATTATCCTCTGATTAAAATAAATAAATAAATAATTTTTTAAAAAGTTCCCACCTTTTTGAAGGGCAACTGGCAAGATTTAACAGTATTTAAAATATGCAATAATCCTACTTCTAATAATAATACCCAACAAAATACTAGTAAGAATAATATATATAGGAATGTTTATTGCAGGATTCTTCATTATCCATCAGAGGGGAATTATTAAATTATGATATACTGATACTCTACATCAATTTCAGCTCTCGCTATAAATCTGTTTTGAAAAGAACAAATATACATGTGTCTGTGTAAGTGTGTGTGTTTATAGTTGAATAGAAAATAATCTGGAAAGATATATAACTAGGTATTATTAACATTGCTTATTTCCAGGGAATAGGAATGGTGGAGGGAGTCGGAAGGAGAACTAGAAATTTAATAAACTTGTTTTGTTTGGATTTCTACAAGAAGCATATATCCTTTTGTAATTAAAAAAACGCAAATAAGCTATAAAAAAAATTGAGCCAATTAGAATCAACAGAGTAAGCTGAAGAGGGTGAGCACCCAGAAGCAGAATGTCAGGCAGGACCTTAGAGAGAGAGGCGGACAGGTTAGAGATGGGCACACATCAGGGTCAAATCCCATGCGTGTGTGGAGCCTCTAATGAAATAAACAGCTCCTTTGAAGGTGACTAAGAATTTTTTTTAAGTTTTCACTTGTGTTTGCTAATGACATATATTTGAAATAGAACTTTTCCATTTTTAAAAGCCCTTCACAATTCCAGTATGCATGAATTATGCTGTCCCCTTATCCAAGACTCGACCTATGCACTTCTGTCTCCCGCCACAGTTGGGATCTAGAGTCCCCTGGGGAAACCCCTTGGGGAGATGAGAAAACCTCTTCCCTGCAGTAACAAAACCTGCCACGAGGTGGCAGGAGGGCAACACCGAGCATTTCAAAGCTGGGGAGACCCCCACCCAAGTTCAGAAAAATCACTTTTTCTTCATTTAACTTCAGACTTTTGATTTTATACAGAACTACCACAAAAGAACATACATTTATAGAAGGAAGACATTTTCTGTGTGATGTAGTTTAAAAGACGTGAAACTTCAAATCAGATCTGAGTTTCAGTCTAGACCTTCACCAACTAGCTATGATCGGTGGTTAAGTCAGTCTCACGTATTTCCTGGGCTGCAGCTTCCTTACCCAGAAGATGAAGGCAACCACAATAGATGCTCTTTTCTTAAACACCATCCCAGCTCTGAGTTTCTGTGAATTTCAATTATTGTATCCTCTGTATCCAATCCAAGCAAGTAGGTCTTACCTCCAAAATACACGTCAAATCTGCCCATCTGCCTATTTGCCACCTCCTTGTTCAAACCACCTCTTGTGTGAACGGCTATCAATACAGCAGCCTCATGACCAGTCTCCCTATTTCCAATCTTGTCCATCTCTCAGCCAATGTCCTCAGGGCAGCCAGAATCGTCTTCTAAAGACCAGTCAGGTCACATCACGTCAGTCCCCTGCTGAGATTGTCCACCGGCTTCCCTCATCACTGAGAAAATTCAACCACCCAGTGGTCTGACAGAAGGCCACTCTTGCCTGCATCTCCCAGCTCATCTCGGGCTACTTTTCCTCTTGCTGATCATGCTTCGGGAGCATCGCTCTTCTTTCAGTGTCATGGGTATGTCCTGCTTTTCCCAGCCTCAGGGTCTGAATTTGCTGTCTACTGCCTGAGATATTTTTCCCACAGTTCCTCTGATAGCTGATCCATCAAGCCTCAGCTGAAATGTCATCTCTTCAGAGAAGACTGCCTGTGCCCTTATTAAAGCCCTCGTCACTTCTCTGGCGTGGCACACTATTTCTTTCATAGCACATATTATAATCTATGATTATCTCTTTGTCTACTGTTTACCTCCCACCCCCACCCCAGCCAGACTCGAAGCTCCATGGTCTTGTCACCACTGTATTCCTTTTCTGGGTCTGGTACTACAGGACAGCATCTGACACAAAACGGGTGGTTCAACAACTATTTCTTAAATGAGTTAATAGCAACGAAGGGATTAGTTCCCAGGGTCAACAGACTAAATATTGGCTCGAAGGAAAGAGGTGCTGGGCTTGGAAGCCTTTTCCAGGAAAACACTTGGCTACCTGAAGTTTATGAAGCTATTTCTCTCTGTGTGTTCTCTCCTTCTCTCCCACCATCAACAACTCCATTAAAGACAACCTCTGGAAGACTGCCCTCTGGGAAGGTACTAAGATGTAGGTCCACAGTCCTCTATCCTATCTGTACATCAGAATGTCTTAAAAGTGCTTCCAGGGGGCTCTAATGTGTATCCTGAGCCACTGGTGTGGCCCAAGAGAGCAAGCAGAGTGGGCTAGGAATTCATCAAAGCAGGCTTCCTGGATGTGGTGCTCAGGGGCTCAGATCCTAAGAGAAAGCATCCAGCACACAGTTTGCAGGGCTCAGGTATGGGCACAGATGGGGGGTATTTTCCACAGACTTTGGAACCCCAAACATTTATGACACATGCACATGCTGAGAATGGGATGGTGGAAATAGGGAGCTTCACCCAAGAGCAACCTAACGTTTTTCGAGTTAACTAGGGGTGGGGATGTGTGTGTGCTAAGTGTGTGCTAAGTCGCTTCAGTCGTGTCTGACTCTTTGCGACCCTATTGACTATAGCCCACCAGGCTCCTCTGTCCATGGGATTCTCCAGGCAAGAATACTGGAGTGGGCTGCCACGCCCTCCTCCAGGGAATCTTCCCAACCCAGGGATCCAACCCGTATCTCTTCTATCTCCTGCACTGGCAGGCGGGTTCTTTAGCACAAGCACCAGCTGGGGTGGGGATGGAGGTGGATGAACAGAGCAGTGATTAAGCAGAGGAGGGTGCAGAAAAGGACCAATCCTGGGGATTTCCCTGGTGGTCCACTGGCTAAGACTCTCTGCTCCCAATGCAGAGGGCCCAGGTTCAATCCCTGGTCAGGGAACTAGATCGAACATGCCACAACTAAAAGATCCGGCACGCCACAACCAAGATCAAGGATCCCACGTGCCAGAGCTAAGACCTGGCACAGCCAATTAAACAACAATAAATTTTTTTAAAAGAGAGAGCTTAAAAATATATAATCTAATATATATATAATCTAAAATAAAATACATAATCTAAAGAAAAAAAGGATAGACTGATAATTCTAAAATGCTGTGTTTCTAGTCTCCTATGCCCCCTGCCTCCTGTCCCTCCTCCCTGGACTTCGTGTCACATTTACTTCACTCTCACGTGTCCCCAGCAAGTACCAGATATCCGGACTGTGGTCCTAGACTCCTCTCTCTTCCCAACCCATCATTCCAATTAGTCGCGATGTTAGCGTGTCCAGCTCACAATTAATCCATGCCCTCCTCTTCTCCAGGACCCCTGTCCCGCACTGATGCAGGCCCTATGGCCTCCTGCCTCAAATGGAGCAACAACAGCCTAACTGGTCTTTTGCATTCATTCCCCATGGATGCCACGGTGAACTTTGTAAAACAAAAGAATGAGAGCTGATCGTGGCTTCCCTTGCCTTAAAATCCTTCAATGATCCCGATTCGCTGGAAGAGAAAACTCAGGCTTTTCAGTGTGGTGGACAAGATCCTCCATAACGCAGACCCTGCCTCTTTCTTCAGCTTCAACTCCCACCAGCCCCCATCCCATGCCATACCCTCCTAAGGCAAAGAGCAACCTCACCCATCAAGAGCGGACTCATGTTTCACTCCTCTATAAAGGTCAGGACCCCTGTCTGATGACTCTAATCTCAGACCTTCCGTGTGTTGATAACTCACACACACTGAAATTACTGGTCTACATGCTTACATCCCCTACAAGACAAGACCCACGTCTTTCTCATCCATTTATGTCCAGAGTCTAGACCAATGCCTAGCATACAGGAAGCACCAATAAAGGCTACTGAATAAAGAAATGAATATATACTTTCTAGTCTAACTTTGCATGTTTCCTGTTTATAGTCAGCTGATAAAAATGAACAGCATTTGACAGTTTACAATACACTTTAACTTGTATCATCATGTTTTCAACGAGTACTTACTAGATACCAATTCAGATGGAGACCACTGGAGTGACACCTTCAGTAATGGAAGGGGGTAGGGCTAGTCTGGAAAGGATGATCAAGGAAGGTCTTCAAGCTAAAATCTAAAAGGATCTAAAGGACAGAAGGTATGGGTAGAGAGAGAGAACAGGCTTGAAACAAAAGCAGGAAGGCCAGTGTGGCTGGAACAGAATATGATAAACTGATTTATTTAACTGAAGCTTCTTAACCCGTAAGATAGTTAGAACAGAGAATCTCCAAATTCAAACATTAAGTGATTTTCCCAACTGATGAAGCTAGTAACAAAATCTAGGCCTATCCCTCCAAGCCAGGCTTTTCCCAAATCACCAGCTGTTGATGACATCTGTAGGCACAAACCTGTACTGTCCAATACAGCATCCATTAGCCATGTGAGTTCCTGATATATGGAGAGTCCAAACGGATGTGTGTAAATGTAAAGCACACACAGATTCAAAGGCCCATCATGAAAAAATTAAAATATCTCATTGATAATTTTCATATCGATGTTGGATACTTTGGATAAATGAGTTATTAAAATCAGCATTACCTGTTTCTTCTCACCACTAGAAAAACTTTGAATAACAGATGTGCCTGGTACCTTTTGTTTCTATTGGACAGCACTGGTGTATAACCTCTCAGGATGACCGAGCTGCCCGGAGGCCAGTCCCTGGAAAGTTCTGCGGTGATGACTGAGCCTCCACCGCCCTCCCAACTCCAGTTTTAAACTCTAGCTCTGATCTGTGAGTCTCTTAACTTTTTCGAGCCTGTCAGGGGTGGGGGTGAGGGTGGGTTTATGCTTCCAGTGCGGACAGTAAAGGTTCCCAGGGCATATACCGGCAGCCCAGCCCCGTAAACGGCCGGCTCACCCGGTAGCTCTTGAAGGCCTCGTCGGCCGGGGCCATGGTGTGGGCCTGGTGCTCCTGCGACTCCCTGCACACCAAGCAGACGAGCCTCTGATCGTCCTCGCAGAAAAGCCGCAGCGGCTCCCAGTGGCGGCCACACAGACCCGCGGGCACGGGGCCCAGGCGCCGGCGCCGTATCCTCTCGGTCAGCCGGGCCAGGGCCCAGTTGGGCCTCATCGAGGCGGGCGCCGACGGCCGCCGGCACTCGGGGCAGCGGACGGGGCTGCCTCCCGGCGCCCAAGTGCGGCACAGGCAGCCGCGGCAGAAGTTGTGGCCGCACTCGATGGACACCGGGTCCTCGAAATAGTCCAGGCAGATGGCGCAGGTCAGCTCCTCCTGGAAGTCCTCGGCCTCCATGCCGCCCCTCTGTCCCGGATGAGACGCCTGCGGGCGGCTGGCGGTGGCCTTCGGACCCGCTGCCGCCGAACTCCTCTGGGGTTCGCGATCCAGCCGGGGCGCGGGGCTGCGGGGGGCTGCGGCCCTTCCCGCGCGCTCCGGTTTCCGCGCGAAGACGGCCGGTGGGAAGTGACAGGACGGCGACGCGACCAACAAGAGCGATGCGGAAGTCCCCCGGGAGGCCTAGAGAGGCTTCGAGGCGCGCGGCGGTTTGCGGGGCGCGCAGGAGTATGGTGGTGCTCCCGCAGCTGCAAGCCGCTGCTGGTGGAACCAAACTGGGAGGCGCTAATGAACTTGTCCTTCCGGTTCGCCGGCTGCTCCCAGAAGATTTAGGGTCTAGAATCCTAGGCGAGCTGCTGCCCAGAAGGGCATTCCGGGGGAGGTACACCCTAGCGGCCTGGAGGGCCCCGAAGAGGACTGGATGGGGGCGGGGGGGGGGGGGGGGCGTCTGTGCAGCCCCGCTAGAAGTGGGCCTAAGGAGGCGCCCTGCCCCACAGGCTGGCTTTTTCTGAAGTCTGTCCTTTTTTGTTCAGCTTCATCCTGTCAATACAAAGGCAGGCGTACAGAGTCACAGACACAGGAAGGAACCCGTTCTTGACCTCCAACCCCGAGGTCTAGTTGAGATGCTCAAAAGGCAGGATTTCTTGCTGCTCCCACAAAACCCACCCACTCAAAGCTCGACTCTCCTGGAGTCTCCTGGGCCGCCTGGAGAGCCAGCTTTCTGGGATGCAAGCAGGAAAGGGAGTGTTTAGCCCCCACGAGGTAGTGGGGAGCCATTTGATCACCCTGCCACCCTGATTTCTCTTTCCTTCCCAGCATAGGGGTCACACCAGGAAGAGGAAGCTCAACCTCAGGGCGTGGGGCACACTCAGGCAGTGGAGATAGTGGTTCTAATCATTAAGCTAGGGAGAGGAACGCAGGGTTAAATGGTTTCCCCCAGGTTTGAGACTTCCCACCGGTATTTTAGGTGGTTCGATGCAGAGGAAGTCTGTAGGCTAAGGATGCTCTGTGTCAGCTTGTGGGTGATCTGTGAGCCGCTGTTGTCTAAGATGCTGGGAAGGAGCAGCTGCTGGTGCTAGAGCTGTTCCTGACCCTCACACCTAAGAAGGTCAAGACCAGGGTGTGAAAGCAGTACCTGGAGAGTGGAGCTGAAGCTGTAGCTGTTGTTGAGGATGTTGTGAAAGACCTAATAGGACCGGGAGAGTGGAAAGAAATCACGTGTTTTAAATGGGAGTGCTTAAGATTCAGAAGCATGAGGGGCTTCCCTGGTGGCTCAGTGGTAAAGAATCTGCCTGCCAATGCAGGAGACACAGGTTCGATCCCTGGCCTGGGAAGATCCCAACTGCTGCAAAGCCAGGGCGCCGCAACTATGCTCTAGAGCTGAGGGGCTGCAACTGCTGAGCCCACGCACTGCGGCCGGCACCCCAGAGCCCGGGCTCTGAAGTAGGAGAAGCCACCACGCTGGGAAGCCCGGGCACCACAGCTAGAGGGGAGTCCCTGCTCCCCACAGCTAGAGAAAAGCCCATGCAGCAGCCAAGACCTAGTACAGCCAAAAATAAAATAAATAATTTAAAAAAGATTCAGAAACACAAGTGAATTGACTTTTGGTACCCAACTTGAAGACAGTAACCATTTTGCTCTCCAAAGGAGCATCCATTGAGGCTTTCAACAAGCAAGATGCTTGCCCGTCTCAGAGAATTATCTGTTTCTCTTCAGTGGAGTTTTGATCTTGTGTTTCTGAGGTGCTCAGTTGTTTATTCTTCCCACTCTATTTCTTTTCTTATGAAAGAAATGTTTCATTCTTCTTGTGTCCCAAAATCAGATACTGCCTTTTGTGTAATATGCTCCATAAGTGGTTACCGACTGTATGATCAGATGATGTGGACAGGGGGTTCCTGTGATCGCTGTTTTGGGGTTTTGATGGAAGTTCTACGGAATATCTTAAATGTTTAAATGATAAAACTGATACCTGCATTTTCTTTGTGAATTGGAATACCATATTGAGAAGGAATCTGCGGGAATTCCATGGTGGCCAAGTGGTTAGGACTCTGCACCTGTACTGTGGAGCCCAAGTTCCATTCCTGGTCCCCGGTGGGGAGAACTAAGATCCTGAGTCCCACAAGCTGCACAGTGCAGCCAAAAAAGGGAGAGAAAAAAAGAGAGAAGGAATCTGAGTTTCAAATATGAGCCAAGCAAGAAGGGGTGCTCTTATCTGTTACTGATGCAAACATGACTGTCTGTGGTGTGAGTGTCTGTGTGTCTCTATGTCTGCCTTTGTATTGAACTGTATCTCCTTAATGTCTCTGTGTCTTCAATCCTGCCATACTTGTGAAATGAACATCCTTCTTAAGGGAAAATGTTGAGGCTCCCTAATTTACAATTTTATTCATATGGAATTTCATGGGATCTCAATTGGCTAAACAATCTCAACAAAGAAGAACAAAACAGGAAGATTGATACTTCCCAATTTCAAACATTACAAAGCTACAGTGATCAAAACATGATACTGCCATAAGAATAGATATATAGATCAATGGAATCGAGAGTACAGAAACAATGCCATATGTCTCCAAGCAATTGATTTTCAACAATGGTGCCAAAAACTATTATATGTAGGGAAAAGAAACTTTTCAACAAACAGTGCTGGGACAGCTGGATATCTACATGGAGAAGAATGAAGTTGGACCCTTGTCTCATAACATATACAAAAATTAATTCAAAATCAAAGACCTAAATGTAAAGCTAAAACTATAAAACTTTTAGAAGGAAAGGTAGATGTAATCTTCATAGTCATGGATTAGGCAATAGTTTCTTAGCTATAACACCAAAATCATAAGCGACTAAAGAAAAAATTGATAAACTGGATTTCATCAAAATTAAAAACCTGTGCATCAAAGGACACTGTCAGTTAAGTCAAAGACCACCCACTGAATGGAGAGAATATTTGGAATCATACTTGTGATGAGGATCACACAAGAAGAACTCAACAACAAAATTACAAATGACCCAATTTTTTTAAATGGGCAAAGGATTTAAATAAACATTCCTCCAAAACAGCTGTACAAACGGCCAATAAGCACATTAAAAGATGCTCAACATCATTAGTCATTAGGAAAATACAAATCAAAACCACAATGAAATATCATTTCACCCACTAGAATGGCTAGAATTTAAAAATCAAACTGGGAAAAAAGATAATACCAAATGTTGGCAAGGATGTGGATAAATTGGAACCCATTTATACATTGCTACTAGGAATATAAAAGAGTAACTAGTACAACTGCTATGGAAAAAAGTTAGACAGTTCCTTAACAGGTTAAACAGAAGTGTTACCATATCCCCCAGCAACTTCACTCCCAGGTATTTACCAAAGAGCCCTGAAAATATGTGTTCACACAGAAACTAGTACATGAATGTTCATGGCACCATTTTTCATAATAGCCCCAAAGTGGAAACAATCCAAATGTCCACCACCTCAAAAATGAATAAATAAAATGTGGTATAGCCATATGATGAAATAATAATCATAAAAGGAATGAAGTACATGATGCTAACTGAAAGATGCCAGTCACAAAAGACCACATACTGTATGATTCCATTTGTATGAAAAGCCCATCCTAAGAAAATCTGTAGAGACAGAACGTAGATTAGTGGTTGCTTATGTCTGAAAAGGTATGGGGATTTGGGGGTAAAAGCTAAGTATTTTAGGGTTTCTTTTTGAGTTGATGAAATGTTCTTAAACTGTTCGGATTATGGATACACAACTCTGTGATTATACTAAAAGTCATTGAATTGTATACTTCAGATGGGTGAATTATATGGTATGTAACCTATATCTCAATAAAGCTATTTAAAAGGGAACATCATCAAGGAGAAATTCAGAATGATGTCAGTTGCTTTTTTCTGTCCTTGGTCACTTGGCTGGGCTCTGGCTATACTAGATACTGGATTCTTTACGAAACACTGTGTAGCAGAAAGAAAACATTATTATTTTGATAGCTGTTGCCAGACTGTCTGGGGAACCAGATGTCTTTCCTTCGGAATAAACCTTCCTAATTTACTGGAGGATCCTTTGAGATTCCATTTCCAAACCTAGGAACCAGTCTTTGTTGAGAATTTGAGGGCAAGGAAGAACTGAGAAAGGAAGTGTTTCTGCAAAAAGGTGGAAGCTGGAAAGCTTTTGGACCAAAATGACTGAGAAACTCAAGAAAAAAGAAGCCTGATATTCAGTGCTAGATTACCTACTGAATCATACTATGATATAAATGTCCCTTACTATTATCCCTGAATCAACAGTAGTGATTTCTGTGTTATACTGAGGACTATGAATTTTAAAAGTAGTCATAGAGATCTTCCAAAAGAGTGTAGCCAAGTGTTTGAATACATCAAATCTACATATCAAAGGACCCTGGGTTATATATGCATGAAAAGCCAGGGTTTCTGAAGAAGATTTATGCGGCAAGACTGGAGGCATTTTTGGTTACAGGACTTCGAAGGTGGGGGGAGCAGAGGATGTGGACAGCTGGAAACCAGATACCCATTGAGACAGGAAAGAGGACTGTCCTCAGCAATAGGAATGCCAGCTCGGTGGTCAGTATTTAATGTGCAGGGCAGGGAAAGGCACTGTTTTAGGGAGGCTTCTGCTGGCCAGCTCTGCAAACAAGCTTGTGAAAGCTGTGATGCTGACACCAGGGAATTCTGGTGAGAAGGCATGACAGGACTCTCCAAGGAAAAGCTTCGGACACCAGGTCCCACGCCCCGCCACCATGGCTCTTGGATTCACAACCACACCCTTTCATTTGCCATGGAGATAAACCCCCACTCACTGGATGTCTGGGCCAAGAGCTGATCACTGGGTTTCCTTCATAGCGGAGCCAGGTGTCTTCATAACTCTGCAAAAGCTGAGACTTTTTCTAAATGGGAAGAGACCTAACGGAAAGGCAGGAGGTAAAATGGGCTGAGCACTCTGGCCCTGATTCATTGGAAGGAACCATCCAGCTGTTGGGTGGTCAGAACACATTTGCTGAGAACCTGCTTTTCTGCTTGATAGAGTGGGGGCGTTGTGCTCCCCAGAGGGTGAGGGACCCACCGTGGGGGATCTTCAGGACCCATACATCAGGGGCAGGCAGAAGGAGGGACCTCAGAGCCCCTCTCACCTGCTTCTCCAGGCCGTTCTCTTATTTCCACCACTGGGAAGTTATCTGTTGGTGCCTTGCGTCTTTTGACACTCTCTGAAGTCGGGGAGTAATTAGAAGACGGGGATTTGTGCCTCCAGACCCTCCACCATCTCCCCAGGCCCAGGAGGACAAGCTCCAAAAGCGTGAACAAGAGACAGAGCCCCGTGACCCCAAACATGGTCTTCAAGAAGATGGTCTTCTCAGAGGGGCGGGAGAGGTAACAGTTGGTACTGCCAAGGCAGGGCTCCAGACGACACACAAAGGAGGTGGGCATCGTGAACCCGAACAGGTGGTACTGCCCCCCCAAGGCTGCCCCCTCAAGGGCCAGTCGCACCCCCAGCTGTGCCACGTAGGCCCAGAGCAGCCTGGAGCTGCCGGCGCCCGCGGCCTCTCCGCCCTTCTCCGCTTGGCCGCCCAGCGTCTCCTCTCCCGTCTTCCCCTTTTCCGATGCCTCCCAGCGCCAGATGACGTGATACAGAATGAAACCCACGTAGAGGGCGCTGGGCACAGCCACCAGCGTGACCTGGAAGGCCCAGAAGCGCAGCGGGGAGAGGGGGTGGAAGGCGTCGTAGCACACGGTCTTGCAGCCCGCCTGCTGGGTGTGGCACACGAACTCGCTCTGCTCCTCGCCGCCGCCGAAGACCCCCGGCCCGCCGGCGGCCAGCAGCACCAGGCGGAGCCCCAGGAGCGCGGGGAGCAGGAGGCGGCCCACAGGGGTGGGGTGCCGGCTCTCCTCCGCGGCCACCCGCCTCAGGAAGCTGCCGCACATCCTGTTAGGAAGCAGAGGACAGGGGTGAGCGTCGGGGCGCTGCGCGCCGGGCCCCCTCTTCACTCCGGATCCAAGGACGGGTGAGGCAGGCTGGCTTGTTCCTCCCCGACAACCTGGTTGGTCAGATACCACGAGCTGACTGCACCTCTTTACAGTTACGGAGGCATCTCTCTAAAATACTAGTAGTGAGTGAGTGGGACTGTGGCTTTCTCTTCTTCCCCCCTCCAGTACTGCTGGGAATTCTGGTGAGAAGGCACGACAGGACTCTCCAAGGAAAAGCTTCGACGCCAGGCCCGCTCACCCATCCACCCACCATGGCGCTTGGATTCGCAACCACAGCCTTTCATTGCCATGGAGATAAACCCCCACGCACTGGATGTCTGGACCGAGAGCTGATCACAGGGTTTCCTTCACAGGGGAGCCAGGTGTCCATAACTCTGCAGAAGCTGAGACTTTTTCTAAGTGGGAAGAGACCTAACGGAAGGGCAGGAGGGGAGAGGAACTCTGGACCTGCAGGGAGAGCAGAGGCTGTCTTTGTCTCTCTCTTTCCCTCCCTTCCTCTCTCGCTTCCCAAAGGCCGAATAGTCAGAGTCCTCTGAAAACGGCTGCCACCCCAGGTCGGGTGCTCCTGTCCATGTCGTCGGAACGAAATCGGCGCTGCCCCCCGGGAGCGGTGTGCGTTCCTCCGCTGCCCGCCCTCCTCCGGCTCCAGGCCCCCAGGGGCTCACAGGCGGGTCAGTCTGGCCTCTGCTCCCCTCTCCGTGGGGAGACGGGGACGAGGTTGGGTCAGGGGGTCAGTGGGGATCCAGTGAACAGAGCGAATGTCGGCGCTTATGTGGTCTGATGCTCTGAGCAGCTTAGGAAAGGAGAACACTTGGAAGAAGACCCGGCGGAATCTGCTAGTTAAATGTCACGGGGTTCAGGCCAAAGCCAGAGCTGACTGGACAAAATTCGAAACTCGACTCTGCTTCGTCATTGCTCCTTGGGCTTTTATCTCCCTCGTGGTGAGACGTGACTGGAGTCGAGGACAGGCTGCAGAAATCCTGCAGTTCTCGGGACAGAAGGCGGTCACACCGTGAGGCCAGTTTGCCATCTTTCATCTGTGTCCTCTCAGCAGCCCTCAGCATCCAACTGCTCTTCCTAACTCTCCTCCATCAGCCCAAACTCTCACACACCTGGTTCCCCTCACCCTCAGAAGACCGTGGGAAGCTCTTATTCCAGAGAAAATAGAGACTGTAATGTGAAACCCTGCAGCTACTTTTATCTTCACAGTCATGGCCTGCTGTAGCATCTTCGAGAAAGAAGTGTCTTTCCACTTGTCCAAGGCAACCCTCCCTTTCAAATCTGTGTCCCTGGGTCACTCCTTCCAGCTTCTTTGAGGACTTGACCCCCAAATTACCTTTCCTGTAATTCCGACCATCCTTGTTTCCTCTCTGACTTTGAATTTGCTTCAGTTTCTTCCTGTTAAGTCTAATATTAATAATCTGAATTTCTATGTTAACACGGCAGGAACTGCAACATGCCTAATTTCTCTCATATCAACTATTATAATACCCAGAGAGATGCACAAAGCAATCTTAAATGATTACTAGTGTTATAAACTATAGATAAGAATGGGCCATATGCCAGAACTTAGGGAGAATGGTCACTTCTGTGCAATCAAAAGAGACATTGAGATGCTTCCAAGAAACAGTTCTGAGGGCTTCAATTGACCAGAGAATTATATCACTATCCACCAACTGTGTGAAGCCGTATTTTGAGCCACTAAGAATCAGAGTCTGAACCTCTGCCTGCCCCCTAAGTCCCTGTCTTTCTTCTTCATCACAGACTGTGAAAACTCCAAGTGTATCAGGCTTCTGAAAATTCTTTTCAGTAAAATTGGGTTAAAATTTTAAAAATTTATTTCCAGTCTCTAGAAAGATGCAAAACTGGTCCCATGATTAAAGATGGCAGACTGAAGATAAAAGGTTATCCCCTCTCATCCCTAACACGCCTCGAAAATGAGAGTAAATGGATCTTTATGAGTGCACCCACTACAAAGAGAGTAGGAAAGAGAGCATCAGATTGATCTTTGAAGGCAATAGGAAAGATTCTGGAGAAAACTAAATCAGCATGCTAGAAAGCACACTGGATAATTCTTTTAGAATTCAAAGGAAGAAGATGAATAATTGAAAATAGTAAAAGGTAAATAGATAAGGATCAAAATCTGTTTATAATTTGGAAATCAAGACAACAGTAAAATCACTAGAGTATTAGATGGGAAAGCTTAGTGAAAGCTTTCCTTAGAAAGGAGTGATTTCTTCATAAATCTTTAACTTTTGTTTGGTGACTGAGCTCCACAGCAGACCAAACAAGAGGTCACGTTTCAAGGCTGGTTCTGGGTTTCTCAGCCTCCACACTGTTGACATTTGGGGACTGTCTCTTTGTGGGGCCTGTCTCTTTAATGTGGGGCCTGTCAGAGGAGAGCTGTCCCATGAGCTGTAAGACCTTTAGCAGCGTCCCTGGCCTCTGTCCATTAGATACCAGCAGTGAACACCAACCCCCCCCCCCCACAACGGTGTCCAGTTGTTGCTAAGTGTCCCCTGGGGCGCAATCGCCCCAGGCTGAGAACCACTGCTTTTGAGTAGCTCTGATCCATCACCTGCTCCCACTTGCCTTCAGTTACCAGCTCGTAAAGCAAGACATCTGTCCAGAGCATCTCCACGGCCTTTTGCAGGGCATGATCATCGGCCCATTTCCAGGTCGGTCGTACCCCCTCCTGTGACGCTGCCTCCGGCCCCTCCCACTGCTGAGTTCAAAGGGTCCCAGCACTTCTTGCTCGGGGTGGAGGGGGGGGGCGGGCACTGAGCTCCGAGGGTTTCTGCCTCGGGCCCTCCGGCAAGTCAGTCACCAGACTAAATGCTAACTTAGTAAACACTCAGAAACTCTCCAACTCATCTCATTTCAAAGTGCAGGTCCAGCACCCTCCAAATACACATCTCCCCAGCAGACCTGGGATTTAACAGAGAGCAGCCCCGGCATGTTCCAGGCATCAGGAGTTTGAGTGGTTTCCAGAAGCCCTGCCTCTGTTCTCTCTCGCCCATGCCCACCCCAGACCCATAGCCAGACAGCCAGATGTTCTCTGGGAGGCTCTCAGAACTGAGCTAGGACTCCAGGTTTCCCCACAGATGGAGAGAACAGGAAAAAGCAGGACAGGAGGACTTGCTTGAGCACCCCTGGTTTGGAGCACCCTGCCATGTCCTTTGCACCGCGGCTGTTAGCACCAGCACAGGGCTTATTCTACACGCATTCCAGGGCCTAGAGGGTGTAGGCAGTAAATATCCTGCCCCTCTTCCTGAGTCTGCAGACCAGGGGAAGTTTCCGAGAAACTGGAGCCCAAATATAGCCATCGCTCTTCCCCTGCTTTCCTGGGAGCCCCGGCTTTCCCCATCTATTCCAGCCATCTCCTGCCCACCCCTCTCATTCTCTGAGACCTTCTTCCTCCTCCCAGAAACATATCTTTGCCCACAGGGGGTCAGAGACCCCAGGCCAATCAATGGGACATAGGGAGCTGAGGGCTCAGCGTTGTTGAGAAAGCTCAAGAGACCACTCTGTTTCTGGGAGGGGAGAAATAGTTGGCAAATCAATTTATTCAAGAGGGGGTTGGCAGGATCTAAACCCTGTCAAGACATTAGAAGCAGTTCCTATGAGCTCAAGAGTTGGGAGAACGAGGAAAGCCCAGAGTTTGAGGAGATTTTTAAATATATAAACATATTTTTTTAAATTCCATCATGATTTTGTTAAGAATTTTTCTGAGCATCTCTTTTTTGGAGGAGAGAAAAATTCCAGGATTCCACAGGGGGCAGAAGCCACCTCTGGAGAGAGTTAAGACTCAACATGGTCGTGAGGGAAGGACGTCCACTGAGGCCAGCGCTGGGCCCAGCCCCCTGCCACCAGCTCACCCCACCTGGCCTTGAAAACATTCTAGATCTTTTGCTAAAGGGTCGTTAAGGGTGCAGCGGCCCGGCATCACCAGGTATGCAGAACCTCAGGCCACATCCCAGGCTTAGCGAGTCAAGTCTGAATGTTAATGATATTCCAGCGTGGGCGTGAGCAATAGAATTGCAACTGCGCAGCCCAGAGTCCGGGCAGCCCCCTCCACCGCCCCGGGCCCTGGGCCAGCCCATCCTTGCGCTGCCCCAGCACTCACCTGGCAGCTTCGAGCCAAAGCACCCACAGCAGAGGAAAGAGGCAGACAGAAGAGTCCTCAGGCCCGAGCATGCAGGGTCCTCGCTCTCCCCCAGGCCCTGCCTCCCTCCACCACCCACTCCTTCCCCCACCCCTTGCCATTCCTGGCAGCCTCAGTGCAGGGTCAAAGAAATGCAACCAGAGGGGCAGGCAGCCCAGCTGCTAAAGAATGGACTCTGGAGAACAAGCGTCTGTTGTCAAGGGTGAGGGGTACATCGTCTACGTGAACTGAAATGGGGAGATCATGCGAAAGGGGGCAGAGGCTTCGGTGTCTTTTCATTGCGGGGGGCTGGCAGGCAACAACAGAGAGCATTCCACACGGTTGTCTTGGCTGGGAGAAATAGCACGGGCCTCCCCCATAGCCCGATGGGCGTCTACCTGCTCCCTGGGAGAATTCCAACACCTCAGTTCCAGACACCACCCCTGTGGAAATGCGGGGCATCGTGCCACTATTTTTAGCATTTAATATTATTACAGAGAAGTTCAAGTCCAGCTTGATAATCTTCACCTTTTAAGTCATTTGATCTTTTTACAGTTTGCCAGATGAATTTTTTTTTGAGGGGGGAGCCCACACTACATGGCTTTAGGGATCTCAGTTCCCCAACTAGGGATTGAACCCCGGCCCTCTGCAGTGAGAGCATGGCGCCCTAACCACTGGACCACCAGAGAATTCTCAAATGAATGTTTTACTTTTGAAGCCTGTTTACTCCTCAGGGGATACTATTCAGCAGGACTTGAGAAACCTCTCACTGGCTCTCTTCTGTTCACATCTGGTCCACAGGAAATACTGATGTGTCTCTAGGGCCAAAAACCTCTGGGCACATAGGCCATATCCAACGCAACCACACTGCCTTCTGTTCATCTGCTGGATATCCTGTCTCTTGCCTCTCTGATTTATCAGTCCAGAGTCCACGCATTGGACTCTCACTGGGCATGAGAAGCAGGCAGGAGGCAGCAGCTTCTCCCAGCCCTTTCCACTGGGAAGAACTAAAAGCACATCTCTTTCCCAAGTAGCTTCTCTCCAGGATCTTCCCTGGTGATCCAGTGGTTAAGACTCCATGCTTCTACTGCAGGGGGTGCAGGTTCAATCCCTGGCTGGGGAACTACTAAGATCCCACACGCCTCACAGCGTGGCCAAAATAAAAATTTAAACTGAAGATAACAACAACAAAAGTAGCTTCTCCAGAGTTAGCCCTCTTTGCCTTTAATTTCCAACAATTCTGCCAAACTTAGATGTGGGCATAGAGATTAAGAGTGACGTAACTGCTGTTCATTTGGTTTTCCTTTGAAATACTGCATCTCAGACTAGTAATCGCTTTAAAATGTCCTACGTATTGCATTTTCCAAAACATTGCCTCTTGAAATCCCAGTCCAAATTTCCAATATCTTCTTACACCAACATTTATTCAGTGCATAATAAATGATGGATATTATAAGTGCTAAATGGTTAATAACTCATAGTTCATAACAACCTTATGAGGTACATACTACTACTACCCTCTTATACGTGAGAGAAATAAAGAACAGAGAAGTTGAGTAACTTATAAAAGGTCAACCAGCTAATGAATGGAGAAGCTGGGATTTGGATAAGCAATCTGGCTTCAGATAGCAAACCCCTAAACTCTACTATGCTGCTAGCCTGGTTATATTTCAAATTACCAGCTTTTACAGACCTATTAATGGTAAATCCACTATAATTTCATACTCTCATGAAAATAAAAATCCTCTGCTTACATTTTCCACATCTTAATGACTAATTCTGCCATCAACCCTGGATCCAAACCAAAACCTTTGATGTCATCACTGACAGCTTCTCTTTCATTGAGCACATCTTATCAGCCTATTGGTTGTGGAGATTCTGTCCCTTGAATTAAGAAGACACCTTAGTTCAAAACTGAATTACTGAACCAGCTTCTGTTTCTAGACTTGTCTACCCCTAATCCATTCTCAGCCTTGCAGACAGAATATTTAACTCAATTCTTATTTAAATTTAACAACATTTTTACCAGTTTCTTTGCTCTGGTTGCTTCTCGAATGTCATACCTTCCTTCTGGATTAAATCTTCTTCTCATTCTCCATGTGTGTGTGTGTGCGCACCCGTGCATGTGTGTTCATCTTAACTATTTTGTGTTCAGTTCAATCGTGTTAAATATATTCACATTATGGTTCGGTGGATTTCCAAGACTCTTTCATCTCACAAAACTGGAATTTTGTCCCCATTTCTCCCACCCTTCAGCCCCTGGCAAGCTCCATTCCATTTTCTATTCCTATGAATTTGACTACTTTAGACTCTTCACATCAGTGGAATCATACAGCATTTGTGACTGGCTTATTTTACTTAGCATTATGTCTTCAAGGTTCATTCATGTTGTAACATATATCAGAACTTCAGTCCTTCCTAAGGTTGAATAGTATTCCATTGCATGTATGTAGGTGCGACATTTTGTTTGTCCATTCATCCACTGATGGATTGTCGGGGTGTTTGCACCTCTTGGTTATGGTGAGTACTGCTGCTATGAACATTGGTGTGCTAAATTTTTTTCTTCTCGAAGTACAACCTTTGGTAGTTCTACCAGGGAACTGTTTAGGGTTAAACTCTTTTTTGTTTCTTCCCTTTTTTATTGAAGTATAATTGCTGTACATTATTATATGTTTCAGGTATATAACATAGGGGCCAGGAAGCCAGGAATGCAAGAGTTCCCTACTTTTCCAGACTTTATAGACTGACTTTGGTAAGTCTATAGATTTACTTTATAGACTTCACCTATGGCGAGAGCATGGCAGCGTATGCTGTGACCCCACATTGCATACAGGCCAGGAAGAGAAAAATCGGAGTATGTTTTGTAAGATTCTTATACTGTGTGCGATGGTCTGATATCCCTTGCAGGTAAACTGCAATAAGATGAAAATGTAAAATGTACAGTGTTATACAGTCAAGAAAGGATTGTAGCTAATGGGCAACCAAGGAGACAAAGTAGAATTATAAACATATGATCAGTTCATCCAAAAGAAGGCAGAAGAGGAAAGAGAGGGAACAGATAAAGCAGATGAGACAAATAGCAAACAGATAGCAACATGGGAGGTTTGAATTTAACCATGTAAATAACCACGCGAGGTGTAAATGGTCAAGCCACTTCAATTTATAGGCAGAGAGACAGACTGAGTAAAAAGCAAGAGCTACTCATATGCTAAGTCCAAATAACCGACTTTATAATTTCCTTTACTTATTTGTGGCTGTGCTGGGTCTTCGCTGCTTTGCAGGCTTTTCCCCAGTTGCAGCGAGTGGGGGCTACTCTCAAGCTGTGGTGCTCAGGTTTCTCACTGCGGCGGCTTCGCTGCTCCGCTGCATGTGAGAGCTTCCTGGATCAGGGATCGAACCCAGGTCTCCTGCATTGGCAGGCAGATTCTCTACCTCTGAACCACCAGGGAAGTCCCTAACCCACCTTTTTAATTTCACATGTGGATAAGAAGTAAAAGGATGGAAAAATATACTATGCTAACACAAAGGAAAAGAAATCCTGAGGGGCATTGTTAATATCAAATTAAGCTTCATAGCAAAAATATTACGAGGGATAAAGAGGTCATTCCATTATTATAAGGGATCAATTCATCAAACCCTAAACATTTACACTCCTAATAACAGAGTTAGGTGACTAGCAAGGAAACCAAGGTCCAGAAAGTTTGAATCACTTGTGAAGGTCACTCAGGCAGCGAGTGGAAGAGGCAAGGTGGGAACCAAGGGTGGCTCCAGAGTCCGATGTCCCCTCCGCTAAGCCACGTCTCAAGAAGGCGCCACTGTGTCAGGGGCCTTCAGCTCGTCTCTGCTGATGGCATGTGGTCACCTCCCAGGAAGATCAGAACTGGGAGCCCACCTTTCGGGGCCTTGCAGATGGTCCAGACCCAGTGACCAAAGTCCTTGTCTAACTGAAGAGGGGGTGGAAAGTGGGGAGAAACACAGGACTCGGGGAACAGGCACACTTTTCAAAGTTGCCTGGATTTCCCCCGATTCCGCAATGGCTCCATTTATAAATGTCCACAGAGCCTCGGGCAGTGTGGGTATCAGGGGAGGGGGTTAAGGTTGGTGCTGGAGGTTGGGGGAGGGGGCTTCTGCCCAATTCTTTCTAAGCTTCTGACAGGACCCTTAAGCACCAAGACAAACTTCTCTTTCACAGTAAGTTTCTGGGGATTGGTGCCAGGAAGGGAGCCCCCAAGCATGCCGAGAAGTCATCCCACTTCTTTATTCCACCAGACAAGGCCTACTTTGTCTCCCTCCTCCCACCAGATGAGCCCAGCCTCCTCCCACAGCCGTGTGCTGACGAAACATGCCAAGCCCTGGAGCAGCAGGGTGCCCGGCTGCAGGGGTCACCCAATGGTGGGGGCAGAAGGAGGCCTGGCGTCTCTGCCCCCGCCCCGTGGTGGGAGGAGAAAGCTTTCTTCTCTCCCTCCCTCCCTCTCCCCACAGCTGGATGGATCTGTCTGCTTGCGGGGAGAGGGAGAGGCCACCAGGAACGAGGGTGGAGAAGTCAGGAGAAGGAAAGACTCGGATCCACAGCGCTGGGCCTGGGAGACTACGTGACCTAGGGAGAAGGCAGATAAGCTGGTCCCAGAGATATATGATCTCTGGGACGTAGAAGGTACCACACAGCTAAGAAATGGAGTTCCCAGGGTGACGAAGATGAAGGGAGATCCCAGGTGTGGAGAGCAACCTGTCTAAACCCAAGATTCCTGCATGTCTTATGATGAGATTCATATGACTGGTGAGGCAGTTGAATAAGAAAAGTAATAAACAAAAAGAACATAGAAAAGTAATAACCATCAGCTCCATTAAAAACAAAAAGTTGTGTGAGAAAGTAAAATGATTATAGCTCACTATGCAGCAGAGCTGTGAAAGTATTAAAGTCATAATAATGAAAATAATGAAGATCTAACCTAAATTCTCAAATAAGGTATTTATATTGGGAGGACGGATGATGGGAAATGGATGTGTGTGGTGAAGGCTAAGAAAGGATGAAGGAAAATCATCATTTTCCAGGATGTTGACTTGATAATGAAACATCAAGAAAGCATTGAGAGACAAGGAGGTAAATGTCTTCAAAATAACCAGCTAGAAGAGACAAAAAATCACTGCGTGAAAAATAAGGGAAAAATATTTTTTACAACCATGTGACTTTGCATAAATCAAACACTGAAAAAAAAAATCCTTGTGGTCTTAAGCAAAGAATTGTGACTGAAAAATAATTAACAGAGAAAGGGAAGAATTGCACAAAGATCATGTAATTGGAAGTAACAGTGTGGAAGTTTATTTAAAACAAAAAATATGCAGGAGTCCCCGCGGTCCAGTGGTTCGAACTCCTTGCTCTCACTGCCGTGGGCACAGGTTCAGTCCCTGGTCGGAGAACTAAGACACCACACGCCGAGGAGCAGCGAGGCCCACACACAGTTCCTGAGCCCTTGAGCCACGGCTGGAGCGTCCGTGCGCCACAACGAAAGATCTCGAGTGCCACGAATAAGACCCGACTCAGCCAAATAAATAAATATTTTTTAAACAGAAGAAGAAGAAAAAGGCCTACATCTGGATTCGGTCCTTGTCCTGAGTGCCCCAGGGAGACACTGGCCTGGATAAACGCCACGGTCCTACAGGTCTGTCTCATAGCAGTGTTTCTTCTCACCCCATACTCGGTAGACAACACAAGGAAATGCCATCCTTAATAATTAGTCACGAGGGTTCCCTGGTGGGCCAGCTGTAAGACTCTGTGCTCCCAACGCAGGGGGCCTGAGTTCAATCCCCAGTTAGGGATCTATATCCCTCATGCCGCAACTAAGAGTCTGCATACTGAGACTAGAGATCCCGCGCGCTGCACACAGACCCAATGCAGCCAAATAAATAAAGAAATGTTTAAGATAATAATAATTAGTCATGGAAGAGGAACCAAGTAACTCAGAAGGAAATAACACAGCAAGTGATATTTCAAAGCAACTTCTGACCTTTGAACAAACAAAAAATAACATGACAGGAGGAAATTTTTAGATTAGTGAGAAGATCCAGGGCCCCCCGTGAACAGGCCAGGGCTGAGGCCAATTGGAATGTGAGACCCACGCCACCTATAGGACAGGCGACGCGGGCCGGGGTGGGCAAGGGGCGGAAATCTCAGAAGACCTGAGTCCTGGCCAGCGGCGGGGACAAGGAGAGGACACACAGCCACTCAGCCAGCCAGAGAAGCTTCCTGGAGGGGTTCGGATTTCAGGGGAAGCCCAAGACAGCTTGCCAAGATGAGGCAGAAGATTGTTCCTGACCAGTGAGACAGCCAAGATGTGAGGGCGGCAAGATCCTGACAAAGGGAAGCAACCCCAGGGCGGGGCAGGACCGTCGGCAGAGACTGGGCATTGCAGGGAGGAAGGAGGGGCCCGGAGAGCCAAGTGTGGTCCTGCCCACCCAGCAGAGACCCACCGACCGCTACAGACAGCCCATCAACCCCCAGGAGTGCATGGAAAAACCTGCATTTGTGTGTGATGGGCTTTCTCTGTATCCTATGTTTTATTTTATGCATTAAACATTCTCTTGGGAATTCTCTGGTGATTCAGTGGTTAGGGCTCTGCGCTCTCGCTGCTGAGAGCTTGGGTTCAATCCCTGGTTGAGGAATTAAGATCTGCATGGAGCAGCAAAAATAAAACAACTTACCTTGAAGGAAACTTTTTAATTTATTTTATCAGTCAGTAGAGCTGCTCAGTCATGTCCGACTCTTTGTGACCCCGTGGACTGCAGCACGCTAAGCTTCCCTGTCCATCATCAACTCCCGGAGTTTGCTCAAACTCATGTCCATCAAGTGGTGATACCATCCAACCATCTCATCCTCTGTCGTCCCCTTCTCCTCCTGCCTTCAATCTTTCCCAGCATCAGGGTCTTTTCGCACCAGGTGGCCAAAGTATTGGAGTTTAGCTTTAGAATCATAAAATTTCTTTTATAAATACATAAAATCTCAACAGTAAAAAATGATAATTATCTTGAGAATAACTAGCAAGGGAGTAGATGGCTGTGCTGTGCTGGCTTTGTCACTCAGTCGTGTCCGACTCTTTGCGACCCCAAAAACTGTAGCCCACCAGGCTCCTCCGTCCATGGGGACAGGACAAGGCAAGACTACTGGAGTGGGTTGCCATGCCCTCATCCAGGGAAATCTTCCCAACCCAGGGATCGAACCCAGGTCTCCTGCATTGTGTGTAGATTCTTTCCCATCTGAGCCACAAGGGAACCCTGAGTAGATGGCATAAAAGGCTAAGAACTGCTGACCTAAAGGGACGGGTGTGCAGAGAACACAGGCTGGGACAGAAAAGACACGGTCAAGGAATGTGTCTCATTCCTTGGACACTGGGCACCCATTGGACTGTGGCCCCAAAACTCTGACTCGAGCCACCCTTTTGCCTTTACCATCCCACTGCCCAACCGCTCGATCCGTTTCCACCAAGTCGGCCTCAGTGCCCCTCAAGTAGGTCTGGTGCCATCTCTCTTTGTCTTTGCTCGCGGATCCATTGATCTGTTTTTCTAAATGTTCATTGATTGTCTTCTTGCTGCCAGGCACTGCACTGTGCAATGGGTCCTGGGAACACGTGTGCTGGCACCAGACGCCACAGCGCGGCCCAGGGACATCACGCAGGGGAAGCTGGACGCCCCCAGGGCTACTGCTGCCCCGCTGCCCCCAGGAGCCACCAAGACCTCCAGGACAGGTCATCTGCTGGGGCTGCTTCTCTGCTTCACTGACCCGAGTTGGCGTCCGGGGAGCGAGTGGCTGCTCCCCTGAGCCCGGGCCGCATGCACCGTTCTGCTGTGGGGGGCACTGCACAAGGGGCTTCTGGCTGTGCCCGCTTCCCTGATGGAAATGCTGGGGTTCCCTCAGGCATAGAAGGCCGGGAAGCAGAGATCTGGCAGAGCAGCGGGAGTGGGGTGGGGTGGGGTGGGGTGGGGTGGGGGCCACACCCTGGCTGGGGTCTACCCAGGCTCAGGCTTTTCCAGCGGGGAGGGGTGAAGCATGGCTTGGAAATACCCAACTCCCCCTACGAACCCCGGGGTGGGGATGTCAGAAGAGGCTGGAAGGGTGACACGCCCCAGACATCTGCCACTCACCACACACACACCCAGCCCACTGGCATTCTCCTACACTGGGGTACCCAAGGCCCTGGTCCCCAGATCAGCTGTCTCAGCTCTCGGTGTTCAGATGGTCTGTAGACTCGCCGAGCACAGACCCACCCGCCTGGCCTGTGCACCCTCTTCTCTCTCTCTCTCAGCCCTTTCTGACGCCTGTCACTGGCCTGTGGATTCCTGCCCCTCCCTGGCCCCACCACGACCAGGCTCGGAGCCCAGCCATTCCCAGAACTACACCTGGCTGTATTCTCCATGTTGTCTGCAGCAAGCTCCCAGGACCGGGGAAGTCCAGGACCTTCCATCTGAACGGTCAGCACAACGGTACCTGTCCTGCTGTCCCTGCTGCTACTTCTGGGTCCTGCAGTCCCCAGGGAGACCCAGGCTGGTGAGTGGGGAAGCAAGGGGTAGGTCTGGAGAAGAATGGAGGGGAGGTAATGAGCTGGACAGATGGGTTCAAGAAGGGCCCCAAGATGGCTGGGATTCTCAAGTGTACTATAGGAATGGGTGTCCCAGGCTGTTCAACTCACACACTTCCAGAAGCACTCAGGGAGCCTCTGGACTCAGGCAAAGTAAGACCTTAAGGAATCAGAATCTAAAACTCTTAAGTTACAGGATAAACAAAACTAAGACCTAGAGAGGTGAGTGACCTGCCCAGGGTCACACAGCCCAGACAGAGCAGGAGCCACACAAGCAGAACTTCTCATCCCTTCCCTCGCTCTGACCACTGGATGGATCTGAGACTCAGGGGGACAGAAAGCGACCCCAAGGGGCAGATGTGAAGGCAGATTAACTGGAGAGATGGTTCCAGAAGAAAATTCATCCCTCACTCCACGGTTCAGATATTACTCCTCCAGGCCAGGCAGGCGGGTGACTAGGAAAGAAGCCAGCTGGAGCTTGGAAGGAATAGGGCCTATTCCAGGACAGGGAAATGAGTCTGGCTCTGGCATACAGGATTTCAGGATGAATAAATGTAAGATAAAACCGTGCAAGTTTAAAATCTATTACATTGTATGAGCTGTCAGAAATATGTTTTATGTTAACTTTATAGCAGTCAATCACATTTAGAATGTTAATCACCTTCTACACCAAACTCTGTATCAATCAGGGTTCTCCAGAGAAGCAGAATTAATAGGACTTTAGAGAAAAATATTTATTTTAAGGAATTGGCTCACACAAGTGTCGGACTGGGCTGTCAAGTCAGAAACCTGCAGGACAGGTCAGCAGGCTGGAGACCCAGAGAAGAGCTGACGTTGCTGTCTTGAATCTGAAGGCAACCTGAGGCAGAATTTCTACTTCGCTCTTTCCCCTTGGGTCCTTCAACTGATTAGATAAGACCCATCCACATTATGGAGGGTAAAAGGGCTAATGAGCTAAATGGTCATCACATTTAGAAACTAATTAGCAAAAATAATAGTCGAACTAGGATTCTGCCGTATGACCTCCAACATGATTAACACCCGTGTGAGTTATAGGATGAATTAATTATAGAATCCATTGTGGGAATGCTCCCCCCTCTCCCAGTCTCCATCTCACACCAAAGGGCAAGTTACAGCCCTGGGAATTCTGAGATCCATCCTGGTCTTACCCTGTGCCAAGCTATTCTAGGTCATTTTCTGAGTTTTCTAGCAAATTCTCCTTCCAACACTTTCTAACTACATATATTTGTCAGGGTAGACTAGGCTATGCTCCAGTAACAAAGTTCAGGGTGGCTTAATCCATCAAATATTTATTTCTTGCTCATGTGAAGCTGAATACAAATCAAGAAGTCCTCATGTAAAACTGAAGACACATCAGGTAGTCTCCTCCATAGGATGACTCTGGGGTCCAGCCTGTTTACATCTTGGGATTCTTCTGTCTCATCCTGTGGCCTCCACAGACATCGCCTAAAGGGGGAGAGACAGATGGAGCAAACCCGTTCATGAGGCCTTGGACCAAAAGACATCGCGCCCACTCACACTTCCTTTTGACAGAACTCAACCACATGATCCCAATACACCTACAAGGAGGCTGAGAGATACTATCTGCTTGTTTGTCAAGAAGACAAGACGAAGTGAAGGCCCAGAGTGGGCTCTGAACTATCATCCCCAGGACAGAGGCTGCCCCTTCTCTCGAGGGAGGCCCCGGCGGTCTGCGGCTGACAGCAGGCGGATAGAGCTGAGGAGGGGAAGGCCCAGGGCCCTCCCTGCCCGGCCCCCTGCTGCCCTGCATCGGGCTCGCCTGCAGGGACGCCACTCCTCAAAGTCCTTCCCCCTTTCACAGGGAATTACTCTCTGAGCTTCCTCTACACGGGGCTGTCCAAGCCCCGTCGGGGCTCCCCCCGCTTCCAGGCCGTCGCCTACCTCAACGACCAGCCCTTCTTCCACTACGATAGCGAAGGCAAGAGGGCCGAGCCCCTGGCTCCGTGGAGCCAGGTGGAAGGCATGGAGGACTGGGAGAAGGAGAGAGCCCTTCAGAGGGCCAGGGAGGACATCTTCACGGAGACCCCGAGTGACATCATGGGCTACTGCAAGGACAGCGAAGGTGAGTGGACCACGGGCTGCGGGGGTGCAGGGGCTCCACCCGAGAGGCGGCCCCGCAACTGGGCGTGGGATGGAAGCAGGCCCTCCCAAAGGAGGATCGGGAAGCACGATCGGAAACACAGACGTTTCTGTGTGCCTCGCCCGCATCCCACACTCACCTGCCTGCCTGCTCTCCCCATCCTCACTCCCAGGCCTCAGCTCACACCGAAGCGAAGGCCGAGTCAGGACGAATCCGGGCACCTCTGAGCTCTCCCCTCCACATCCCCGTCCATCGAAGGCGGGTCCCTCTTTCTGAGCCAGACTCGCCCCTGCCCAGGGATGTGGGGTGGAGAGTGAGGCAGCCTGCAGCGTGTCCCGGGTTCCCGTGGTGGCTGCCCCAGTCACGAGCTACTCGACCGTGGACACACCGCTCGGTTGTCTGGTCTTATTCTTGTTGTTTAGTCTCTAAGTCCCGCCTGACTCTTTGAGACCCCGTGGACTGTAGCCCGCCAGGCTCCTCTGTCCATGGGATTTCCCAGNTCTAAAGTATACCCTGCTGCTGCTGCTAAGTGGCTTCAGTTGTGTCCGACTCTGTGCGACCCCATAGATGGCAGCCCACCAGGCTCCGCCCGTCCCTTGGATTCTCCAGGCAAGAACACTGGAGTGGGATGCCATTTCCTTCTCCAGTGCATGAAAGTGAAAAGTGAAAGTGAAGTTGCTCAGTCGTGTCTGACTCTTCACGACCCCATGGACTGCAGCCTACCAGGCTCCTCCGTCCATGGAATTTTCCAGACAAGAGTACTGTAGTGGGGTGCCATTGCCTTCTCCAGGAGAGAAGGCAAGTGTGTGCAATGCCTGCTTCACAAGGATGGAAACGGGTAGCAGGATCGGCGGGCATGAGCTGAGGCTGGAGAAGAAACTAGAAAGAGGGTCGCGGCCCTGAGCAGGGAAGGGTTGGCCAGATGATGGGGTGGATGGATGGAGCCCGAGGCAGAACTAAGAGGCAGGGCTGAGACGGGGGGTCGGGGGCACAGAGCCCGTTTTGGATGTTTGGGGGGAGAGAACAGAAAAACATTTGGCCTGTTCACAACTTCTTGACCTTCAGAAGTCACACATGCTGGAAGCTGGGCGGGGCAGAGAGTGGCCGCAGAAGGCCCATGACGCAGTGGGGAAGGGTCTCGGGAAGGGTGGCGGGGGGCCCCAGCCTTCGAGGAGAAGCCCTGCTCAGCCCTGACCCCGGGGTGGGGAGCCGTGGGCAGGGAGATGCCAGGCCCTGGGCATTCACCCCGTCCCTCCACAGAGTCTCCCTCTGTGTCGGTCACCGGCCACGTGGCCCCAGGACACAAAAGGACACTCAAGTGCCTGGCCTACGACTTCTACCCGCGAAGCATCGGGCTGCACTGGACTCGGGCCGGCGACGCCCAGGAGGCTGAGTCAGGGGGCGATGTGCTCCCCAGCGGCAACGGCACTTACCAGTCCTGGGTGGTGGTGGGGGTCCCCTCTGAGGACCCAGCCCCCTACTCCTGCCACGTGGAGCACAGAAGCCTGGCCCAGCCCCTCACTGTCGCGTGGGACCCGCGGCAGCAAGCCCAGTAGTCACCCTTTCTGCGCAGTGAGAGAGGTGGGCGCTACGAGCCACTGTCAACATCGTGGGCCAGGCCCGGGGGACGGCAGTGGATTCCAGGTGGTGGATTCCAGAGGGAAGACTTGAATGCCGAGCTCTGAGCCGACTCACGACCAACCAGTCTTGCAAAAAAACCCATTATGTAATCTGCAAAATCAAATCAGCATCATCACCTTATAGAATGATTATTTTTAAACTGCAAAGTGCTGCAGAAATGTGAGAGTTTGTCATTAGTCCTGCCCCTCCGAGCACTGAACTCATCTGAAATTCTTAGTGTTTACTGGGCGTCTCACCACCATAGCGTGGCCTGGACCACTGGTCCCGGGGGCATTGTTTACGCGTGCCCACTGCTGATGTCCCCAGGGGTCATGAGGCCATGGAACTCTGCAGTCTCTTTAATACAGATCTAAGCCTCTTCTGTACCTGTTTTCCCAGCAATCCAGCTCCCCGTAGGCACCACCCTTCACTCCAGCTCCTGGACCTTCCCCACACCTTGTTGGCCTAGGGCCACATACTGTAGCTCATTTCAGAGGCTCCATCCATCCAGGACACAGAATCGGCCCTGATGTCCTTGGACTTCCTCCAGATTCATTTGAATGTGTGTGTGTTTTGTTTTAACTGTGTCACCCATCCCCACCCATAGGTTTAAGCCCCAAAGACAGAGCAGAACTCACCGATCTTATTACTAGGCCTCACCTGCCCAGGCAGGCCTTTCCCTCAGCCTCCCATGTTCCACTGAGTCAGTCCTCCAAGCCGAGCTCCTTGGACACATCCTTCCCAGCCTTCCGAATTCTGAGCCCATTTGCTTACCTCTCTTTTTTGACAACCTAAAATTAAAGGCCATACTCCTTTTTTTTTTTTAATACTTTGATCCAATTTGAAAATCAGCTTGCCAAGAAGTGTTTTTTTCAGTCTGTGATATCACACCTCCCCACCCACCTCTCCAGTGCAAAAAAGAAAAAAAAAAAGCCCAGTCTGACCAATAGGAGGGCTACAAAGAAAATCCAACTAGTCAAAAGGGGAAAAATGTAGCAATTGATATTGCAACACATTATGAGACTGGAACAAAGCCTAACATGTGACAGGAAGAAATATTTAGATCAAGGAGGAGACCCAGGGTCCAGCCTGAACAGGCCAGGGCTGAGGCCAATTGGAATGTGCAACCCGGCCCACCCACAGCAGGAGGGATGGGCTGGGCTGGAGGAGGAGGAGAAAACCTCAGAGACCTGAGTCCTGGCCAGGCCTGGGGACAAGAAGAGGGCACAGAGTTGCTGATAAACCCAGAGAAACTTCCTGGAGGGGTTCGGATTTCAGGGGAAGCCTAAGACTGCTTACCAAGAAGAGGCAAAAGACTGTTCCTGACCAGTCGGGTGTGAGACAGCTGAGATGTGAGGGTGGCAAGATCCTGACAAAGGGAAGCAACCCCAGGGCGGGGCAGGACCGTTGGCAGAGACTGGGCACTGCAGGGAGGAAGGAGGGGCCCGGAGAGCCAAGTGTGGTCCTGCCGCGGCCACCTCCTGCCCACCCAGCAAAGACCCATGGACGGATTCCCCAGCAGGTGGGACCATCATGAAGTGCAGCTGAGGATGTCCCACCCCAGGGGGCTCATTGCCACAAACTCTCTCCTTCTCAGCAGTTTCTCAGTCCCTAAGTACTTCACCCCTCTCTGGAGGACTCTTCTGGGGCCAGCTCACCCACTGGAGTGAAGGGATGGCGTGCTCCGAGTTAGGCAGGAGACACCAACTGGATATAGGGCTGAAATACTTTCTCTGCTAATGCCCTTTTCCATTTGGCTGGACGAGGCTAGAACTTGCAGTTCCAGCCAATCAGACCTTATGATTCACCATCAGACATACCAAGGCTATTTACTTTTAGTATTTCCTTTTAGTATCCTCCCCTTACCTGCCCTGACCCAGCCTGCAAACCCTCTGACAAGATCGGAAGGCTGAGCTCCGAGCGTGGGTCTGTGCCCGTGTGGCTGGAGGCAAAGGGGCAGAGGATGCTGGGTCCCAGGAGAGTGGAGGGAGGAGAGGAAGATGCTGCTTGGGCTGCATCTGTGCAGAGAACTCAGCGGGAGACCCCAACCTCTGAGAACCAGGCCAGTTTATTCAAAGCCATGGGACGCCCTTCACCATCAGGAAAAAGATCGTGGTTAGATATTTTGCCTAACGGGACGGGGAGAGTGCACGGGATTCATAAGCAAAGCTCAGTCGAGACCACCTCCCTGGGTTCTGTTGTGCTGCCTTCTTCCCCTTCTTTCTTCTCTTCTGAATCCGCAGGCCGTGGGGCCAGCTCTGGGCACCTCAAAACTCACATACCAGAGATCAGGATGGACACAGCACTTTTCCTAATGGAGGGAGAGGAAAGAAGGGAACCAGAGCTCCTGGGAACTCTGCTCAGATTCCTGATACTCGTAAGAGGCCCAGCCAGCTCAGTGTTAAATCCCAGGCCTCGAAGAAAGGTGTGATTGGGAGGCAGGGTTACTTCTCCAGAAAGAGCCGGGCTGCAGAAGGGGCCTGGCGGAGAAAGATGATGTAATCACGATGTGAGCCTTGCCACCCTCCAGGGACCTTAGGGATGAGGCTCCCTCTATGTGAATGCTTTCAAATAAACAACAACATTTACACCAAAAGCATCCGACTCCCCTAAGTTAGGTGTGAACCTCCCATTACTGGGCTCCCGTTTCTCCTCTGCTGCCCCACAGTGCCTCCTAGGCTCACGGCACGTGTCGAGGGGGCTGTTGGCTTCTCTGGACCTTTGAGTACCCAGTCCTTCTGTGCAGGATCTTAAAATCCATCATGAGGGTCAGAGATCCTTCTTAGGCTAATGGGCCACAACTGCAGCTTTCAGGATGTCAGAAGGCCATTTCCGCCCTAGGGCGCCCGCTCAGCTGCAGCTGCACGTAATGGCCAGCAGAGGGCACTGTGTGTCCAGCTAAGGGGCTGGGAGACGTTCTCCCAGCAGCTTTAGGAACCTGCAGGGCTTGGCAGAGAGTTCTGGCTGAGAGGAGAAAGGAGGACATTTCTCTTCCACTGTGTCTGTTGGTCCCTTTTATAATTCCGGGGTCACCTTACTCCATTTTCACTCCTATCCTCAGGCATTGCCCCCTGGACGTCCTGACGATGTCTCAGAATCTTGAGTCCCAATTCTAGCACTGTCTTCCCTGCTCCACCCCATCCCTAAAGAAAAGCAAAACCACTTCTCTTCACCATCCTCCCCTCCTCCTCCTTCTGCTCCTTCTTCTCTGGGTGTCTCCTCCCAGCTTCCCAAACTAAGCCCCTGGATTCCTGCCCCCTCCCTTTCAGAGGAAAGGATGTCACCGAAGCCAGACAATGCTCTGTCTCCAGCCCTTTCCTCCCCGCAGACTGCACCTGTCTTCCTGCCCGTCCCTCGGGTATCACAATCCTCCCAAGTCTGCCTCCTTTCCGATCATCCTCAGTGCTCTGACCACACAGTAAGATCATGTCACTTCCCTCTTAAAGATGAGGTGGAAATAACCCAAATGTCCATCACAGGATGAACAGATGAACAAAATGTGGTTTACCCAGTAGAATATTATTCAACTTTAAAAAGGAAGGAAATCCTTACTCAACATGAATGAACCTGAGGACAACAGAAAAGCTTCGCTTAGTCCAGAACTGGCTGTTGAATCCAGAAACTTCCTGCCTGACTTATTTCACTCAGCATAATATCCTCAAGGTTCATCTGTATTGTCAAAAATAGCAGGGTGTCCTTTCTCATGGCTGAATAATCCCATGTCTTAGAAGAAGATACATTTCAATCTTTTTTATCCACTCACCCCTAAGTGGACACTTAGGTTACTTCCACATCTTGACTATTGCAAATAATTTGGCGATGAACAGGAATGCAGGTGTCTCTTCAGGACCCTGATTTCATTTCCTCTGGATATCTACCCAGAAGTGGGATTGTTGGATCATATTGTAGTTTAATGCTTTTAAAAACCTCCATACTGCTCCACATAGTCACACACCAATTCACAGCTTCTCTGGTGGCTCAGACTGTAAAGCATCCGCCTGCGATGCAGGAGACACAGGTTCGATCCCTGGATCAGGAAGATCCCCTAGAGAAGGAAATGGCTGCCTACTGCAGTATTCCTGCCTGGGAAATCCCACGGACACAGGAGCCTGGAGTGCTACAGTCCATGGGGTCCCAGAGAGTAGGACACGACTGAGTGACTAACACACCCACAGGGTACCAGAGTTACCTTTTCTCTGCATCCTCACCAGCATTTGTTATCTCTTGTCTTTTATATAACAGCCATTAGAACAAATGCAAGGCAATATCTCACTGTGGTTTTGATCTGCATTTTCCTGACAATTAGTGCTGCTGAGCATCTCTTCATGTGCCTGTTGGTGATTTGTCTGTCTTCCTTAGGAAAATATCTATTCAGGTCCTCTGTCCAATATACAGTAAATAAGTTACTAGGTTTTTTTGCTATTAAGTTGTATGAGTTTCCTACAAATACTTTTCTCCCATTCCATAAGTTGCTTTTTCATTTTGTAGACTCTTTTTCCCCCTGAGCAGAAGTTCTTTCATTTAATTCGGTCCTACTTGTTTATTTTTGGTTTTGTTGCTTGTGCTTTTGGTATCATCCTCAAAAAATCATTGCCAACATCAGTGTTGTCTTGTGTTTTCTTCATTGGGTTTATGGTTTCGGGTCTTATATTTGTCTTTAAACCATTTTGAGTTATTGTTTTGTGAGTGGTGTACGACGGGGGTCCAGTTTCATTCTTCTGCAGGCGGAAATTCAGTTTCCCAGCACCATTTACTGGGGAGACTCCTGTTCCCATTGTGCCTTCCTGGTAACCTTGTTGAAGATCAATTGACTGTCTCGGTGTGTATTTATCTGTGGGCTCTTGATTCTGTTCCATTGGATTACATGTCTCTGTAGGACTGTTTTTTCTATTTCTGTGAAAAATGCCTCTTGGAATCTTGGTAAGGAATGCATTGATTCAATAGATGCTTTTTGTGTAATATGGACATTTTAATGTTAATTCTCCCAGTTCATGAGCACAGGGTATCTTTCCATTTATTTGTGACTTCAGTTTCTTTCATCAGCCTTACAGTTTTCAGTGTACAGATCTTTCATCTCTTCAATAAATTTATCCCTGATATTTTGTCGGTTTTGATGCTATCGTGAATGTGATTTTTTATCTTTCTTTTTCAGGTATTTTGTTGTCAGTGTATACAGGCTTCCGCAGGGGCTGCACCATTGCACAAAGGTACACCAGCCACGCACAAGGGTTCCAATTTCTCCACACGCTTGCTAACATTTGTTGTTTCGTGTGGGGGTGGTTTATGGTAGCCATCCTAGTGGGTATGTCTTCTCTGAGTTCTCACACACTCCATCTGATCCGCTTTGAAACTGTTCTATGTTTCCTACCCTTTTGAAAGCAGTAAGCTTTTGTTTTAATAGGATTCATTTCAGTTAAGAGGCAGATCCGGGCGGCGGAAAGTGCACCAACCATTGCGACACGTACAAGTCCGCGTTCTGACCCATTCGGTCACCGAAAGACCCTGAGTCCTGATCTGCTTTCTGCAGGCCTGTTTATCCTCGTCCTCTGGGGGAGCTAGGGTGATAATCCTCTGCGCTCCAAGCCCTTAGCTGAAACAAGCCGGGATACATTTAAGTGGAGTTTGTCTTCCACACGTAAACTCTGCTTCCGATTTGCAAATGTGTTCCTGCGAGCCCCCGATTTGCAAATGTGTTCCTGCAAGCCACTTTGCCGCCCCTGCAGTGGGGTACACGCCGTGGGTGCCGCCAGGTCAGATCCCTCCGCCCACAAGCTTCGGGTCTGGAGAACCACTGAGCTGTGGGGCCTCCAGGGTCCTAGAGAGGGCGCCCGGCCAGGCTGACGCCGACGTACTTCCGGCCTTTGTGTTTCGCAGTCGACGGCAGCCCCAGGGGGTCAGTTCTCCTTGCACGCGTCTGTGGGCGAGCGCCTGAGGCGCGGTAGGACGAAGGCGTGGGTTTTCCGATCCCACAGGGCCAGTGTTGGCCTGTGGGGCCCAAGAAACCCCGGCGTCCAGTCGCAGTCGCCACATCGTCCTTCCTCTCCGGCATTTTGGGTCTTGGGCTCTTTTTGTGCCCCTAGCTGGCAACATGGCAATAACTTACAAAGACTGCGTGGGGGAGAGGGACATCCGCGCTGTGAGCCCCTCATTCAAGCCTCCTTGGAGCCAGCCTAGTTGCAGAGTTCAGGCCGACGCCGCCTGCTCTTAAGTCCTTGGCACTGCCCATGGAAGCTCGTTTTGAAAAGACATTGTGAAAAGTTGGGTAGTTTAACCAAAGAACGCACGCTGGATCCCTCCACTATCTGTGTTCTTTTTTTCCACATACACTTAATCAGCCCTACCTGAGTGTAGGGAAAATAAAAATCAGGCTAGAATCTTGCCTTTCTCGACCTGGGACGCTCCTAGCACGGGAACTGACGTGTTGTTGATACAATGTGAGATCATAACCCAGAGATGGAGAGATACAGAGCTTGAGGGCAGAGGTCAAACCCGAAGGACTTTGCAGAGGGGGTGGTATTCGAAGGAGGAGCTGTGGAAATGCCCTTCCAGCCAAGAACATTCCAGATAGAGCTGGTGCAAAAGCACAAAGGTGGAAGGGTGGGGAGAATGGCAGAGAGACTGGTAAATATTTCAACACCATTCTGGTAAATGTTTATTCTGCGATGGGTAGTGGAGATTAAAGAATGTGTGGCCACAAATCCCTGTTCTAGAGATTTCTAAAAATAGTGAAAATGGTCCAAAGGTACAAATTTGGGGTTATAAGGTAACACATTCTGGGGATATAATATATAGCATGGTGACCATAGTTAATACTGTATTGTATATTTGAAAATTGCTAGGAGAGTGGGTCTTAAAAGTTTGCATCGCAAGAAAAAAAATTAACTGTGAGGTGACGGGTGTTAATTAAACTGTGGTAACTTCACAATATGTACATATATCAAATCATTATGTTGTACAGCTGAAACTAATATAATACTTTTGATAATTATATCTCAAACTAGGGGAAATTTTTTAAATAAAAGGGAAGGGTAGCCTGATGGAAGGGCTGTGAGGAAAGATTGAGGCTATAGAGTTAGGGTGACATGGGCAGATACACAAAGATAGGGACAAGTGTGTATAAGCCTTACAAACTAAAGCATGTGGCCGCGGGAGCTAACAGGAGGGAAGAAGGGACATGCACTGTTCCTGGTTGTCCCATAGTTTGCTTCGTTCAGCTTCGTCAGAGTGCTCTGTTTGCAGGTGCTGGTGCTTTAGCAACTCAAAGCAATAACATGCTGAGAAAACTTAATATGAAACAATAGGGCTTCACCTTATACTAATATATTAATAGTTCCACTGTTTACCAAGTGTGCATAAGCAAATTCACAGTCCAGAAACACATAGCCGAGCTAAACAGACTATCGGCTCACTGTTCGCCTCTGGTCCTTTTGTAATGTCTCAAGCTACATTTTGCTGCATTTCTCAGGAGAGGATATGATGGATGATAGTTGTTCTGTTGCAGAGATGAACAAGTATCAGAAATTGGGCAAGCATGTGGGGGAGAAGATGTGGTATGGATGAGATCAAAGTATACACAAATCAGGTCGTTCTCAGGTT